CAAACTGTTGGTGAGCCAAGTTAAATTTCCCCATAAGGTTCAATGTAAATAAGGTTAATTCGTTCTGTAACCATTTTTTAAATCAGAAAAATGTGAAGCAAAGTGACAACAGCAAAGATTGCAGCCATCTCCCCCCCCCCCCACCCCAGCACAAGCACGGCCATCTCCCTGCCCCCTCCCCAGCATAACCAAGATTGCACCCGTCAGCCCGGCAGGCGCCCATCATCCCGGTGCGCTGGGGGGGGGGGGGGGGGGGGAGAGATGGGCGTGATCGCAGTTGCGTTGGTGCAGGAAAGACATGCGTGATCAGAGGCGCGCTCCTGCAGGAAAGACAGGCACGATCTCGGCCATCTCCCCCGCGGCTCTGCTGTGCTACGCCCATCTTTCCTGCAGCAGCGCGCCTCTGATCACGCACGCCTTCCCTGCATGAAAGCAACTGTGATTGTGGCCATCTTACCACTCGGGGGTGGGGGGACGATGACACATGGCTGCGATCTTGGTCACCACCCAAAGCAGAGTTTGCTTTCCAAGTCAAAATTTTTCAGAAATTTTTGTTCATGATTTGTTTGTGAACCAAGGCGTTCATGAGCTGAGGTACCACTGTATTTGAAATGCAAGGCGCTGAAGACCTGGAATAGTGCTACTGGGGGCTAACCTACACATTTAGCAAAATGTCATATAGCTGGTATAGGACTATCCCAGCCTTCCCCTACCCAGATGAACTGGATAGCAACTCTCATCATCCCGTCAGGATGACCAATGCTCAGGAATCCTGGGAACAAAACTGTAGTCTGAAATATCAGGCGTGCCTCAGGTTGGAGGAGGTTTCAGTAACCTTACATCTCACCACTGGACCAGGGCACAAGGCCTCAGTTATTGCTCTTAAAATTTAGAGAGGTTCACCTGTGCAGAGGCAGTCTTGCAGATGACATGGTCCCAAACCTTTGGCAGCAAATTTAGAGAACCTGCATCCCATGTTATCTCAAATTTAGAGAACCTGCATCCCTCTTAGGCATTGTGTGTGCATGTGGGATGCATGTGAAAGGATGGGGGGGGGGGAGAGAGTCAGGAAGGATGGATATGGGTGTTTGAATCTATTCATCCATTCACATGAGGGAGGGTGGTGAGAGGAAAAGAGTGTGGGGTGATGGCTATTTTAAGATTAATTGCACCAAGTTTAGAAAGAGAATGTGTGAAGTGATTTTAAGGTAAACCATGTGGAGTGACCCTGACCCATCCGCCAGTGCCAGTCAGATCTGGCTAAATTACCTCTTGAAGGAATGTGGTCCCCAATTCTTGAGGGAGTAAAGATTCCTTGCACCTGAATTAAAAGCAGCACTTTGAAATGGGACTTCTGGTGTGCCTGGCACAGAATAGGTGTCATCCTAGCTTTCTCAATTATTCTAGCTGCTGCATTCTTCACTACTTGTACTTTTTAAGGGAAGGGAAGTTTAAGGGTAATTCATTACAGGACTCTAACTTGGACATTTCTGAGACATGTGTTACTGAGACAAGGTTTGCTTCCGCTGGAGAAGACTGCAGCAGGTGGATCAGCCAAAGGTGGTAAGAAGCACCTTGGTCTGCTGATGCTACTCACCAGCCAGTTTGAGGTCCAGCAGTGCTTGCAAGCTGTTGTGGAATGCAGACCCTTCTAGAACCACTTATGCACCTCAATCCAAATCCGCTACTGATTGGCTAAGTGGCAGAGAAAGCCTGGTCTCCATCCCTTTGTGATGCACTGGGGATGAAGATCAGGACTGTTCACAACTAAATGAAGTTGCAGAAAGGTCTCAGTCTTCATCCCCAGTGGGGCCACAATCCATGATGAGGTAGAATCAGCAAAAGAACAATGTCTTCTGATAGGACCTGGAGTGGGGACCTTGCAAGCTAGAAGCTCAGTATGGCTGGCCTACAAGATGCAATCTCTTGTTTCCCTTAAATCCCTTCAAAACCCACCTTTATAATTCTCTTGCTGAAAACCTTGGTACTCATGTCCTATTGCTACTATTTCTAATGGAACATAAGCACACTGTCCAAAATGGTTCCTTATTCCTTACCAGTTTACCCTTGCATATTCCTCAGGGCAGGCCCCTGTACTCTGTAAAGGGCCATGCACATTTATAATGTTCTACCAATACATAAAACTAATTTCCCGTATTGTGAGTAAGCTATGACAACTCATGCTTCTATACCCTGTTTGAAAGAAAAGTCATTTCCAGGGTTAATTAATCTTGCGGAAGGGTTAACAACTTCCAGTCTGCATATAGCCCTTGTTGTGGCCAACCAAAGATGTCCAAGGTGCACCCCACCCCCTGCTCATTTGAATTTGTGACAGTCTGAAAAAACAGCTGCTTGATGGACTGTTAGAAGCCCAGTTGAGTAGGGAAAGTTTGTGTTCTGGGAATGACATCCCACACACTCTCCTCCAACCAGTGAGGTTGCTTTTTCTGCACTGCCATTCCAGTTGGGCTCCCTGGGGAGGGGATGAGGTTTACAACTCTGTCTCCTGGGATCCCATCCCTTCCTTGTGCATTGTGTGTTTATGCAATCCACTATCCTGCACCATGTGTGGCCCTAAGGGCTAAAAAAATGTCCATGCATGACCTAAGATAATATTTGTTACATTTATATCCAGCCTTTTTTCAACAGAGGCCAAGGTGTCTCCCCTCCCCCCCTCCATTTCATCTTCACAACAGTCTTGGGAGGTAGAATAGGCTTGAGAGTCATTGATTACTGCAGTCACCCAGTGAGGACTAGAACCCAGTTCTCCCAAATCTTGATGCAACACTCTAACCATGGGTGGGTAACATGCAGGTTAGTGACCGCATGCAGCTTTCCAGGGGGCATTTTTTGATCCCCACCAGGACCTACCTCTGTGGCATGGCTCCCACAACTTCTGTACTGTCAGATTTCCAGAAAGTCTCCTGGGAAACGGGGGATGTTGAGAATATGTGCTTTGCTTCCCAGCAGATTTGTACTTTTCCCAGTCTGTCAGTATCTGGGCTGCTCTGGTGGCCAGAACCAGAACTACGAGTACCACCACTTTGTTCACAGAATCAGTCCCAAACCCTGCTGGAGCTCTCAAGTCTACAGACAAGCACCAGCTGGGAGTTCTCAGGGAAGAGCTATAGAAGAGCAAACTCTTCCCTCTGGAACTGGTCTGTGCACCACAGTGCCTGCTGCAGCGTCTGCACCTTGCCCGCGTCTTCCCTGTCTCCTGCCTTGCCATGTTGCCTCAGCAGCACAGGCCCTCCTGTTTGCTCTTGGTCCTGGCCTTTCTGTGTCGCCTTGCCCAGGCATCCTGCCTCACTGTGTTGCCTCAATAACTCAGGGCTCCCTGCGAGATGTGGTTCAGCTCCTGCGTCTTGCCTGATCCCGGCTGCATCCGGCTCCTGCCGTACCATGTCTTCTGCCTTGTTATCCTGCTCAAGATACCTGCACCTGTGTGTGGCCTCCTGGTCCTTCACCCTTGGCTTGTTCCTGACCACATCCTTGTTCTGCCCTCATGTGTTCCTTTGCTTCCTGACCTCGGTCTGTGCCATGACTCGGACTCGGACTTTCCATTAAGCCCTGCTTTGGATTCTCTCTTGCCTGATGTCCTGTTGCCCTGGCGCCTCTGTTGCTCTTGCCTTGTCTCTGGTCACCCGTGTCTCAGCCCAGTCTGCTAATCGTCAGGCTGTGGGGACTGCCGTTCTGCTCTGAAATAAGCCGTGTACTGCATCCACACCTGTTTTCCCAGCAGAATCCCAGGGAAGCTCTAGGACGCCTTCCAGTTCTAACGCAGCCAGTCAACCTACAGTAAAGGAGGTGTGTGGTCCCTGGCTGCTGCTGGTGTGGGAGGAGGATTCAGCACAGCACCCGATGCTTGGCAGTCGATCACACTAAGCCACACTGACTTTCAGTCAGAAGGGAGTTAGTTGGACCTTATAAGTGAATCTACCAAACCTGGAGTTGGGGTGAGAGATTTTCAGCCTACAGTATGACTGGACTGGTATTAAAATCTAAGGAGATGATATCAACGGAGATTATTTTACAACAAAATAGATGTTAGGGGTGCTTCTCAATGGAGGGATGCTGCTTTGAACACATAGAAGGCACTGTGCAACATTATCATACCATTCCCCTAATGGATTTTCTGTAGTAGGGAGAAAGAAGGAAGATGCAGTGGGAAAACACAGAAAGGCTATGAGTAGAAGAGGATAGCTTATTAAGAGGACTGGAAAAAGTTTGTAGAGGCAACTAGGTCAGTGCTTTCATTGCATTTTCATTACATCATTGTAGGAGCTATTTCACCTTGAGATCCAGTCTAGATTTTGCAGAATGTCTCATGTTTGCAGTGTTGGGGCTCCTACAGTGAGTCTCATTCATGCTCATGTAGTTCTGGGTCCTGAGAGAACAGCCCATGCTGCACAGTCTCCTCACATCAACATTCAAGATAGGTCATGCTAGAATAGTTGGAATATTGGTTCCTCCCACATGTCCTAGAGACTTTTGTATAGAACCGGATAAAAATGCTCCAAATGAATGAATGTCATATTACCCAAAGCTCAGAGGAAAGTGCTGAGGTGCAGGGCTTTCTGTGGACAGTTTTTGAAAAAAGCACGAGGTGATAGATTGAGGGGATAGGATGTTAGCCCCTTCAAATTATAAGTGAGAGATTATATTTCTGTTGTTTCTCCACTTAAAAAGCTCCCCCCACAGCCAGTATACTTCCTCCTTAAGGAGTGGGCCACCCTAAACAATTCTCACAGATGTAATGGCTTACCACACAAAGGAAACTGTGTGTGGAGCAGAGATGTTCAAAAGTATGTTTCCCTCCTGCCATGGGGTGGCATGGTCCAGAATTCTGTCCCCTTGCTTATCGCCTTCTGAGAAAAAGCAGAGCATGACTTTCAGCACCTTCAGTGGGAAAGGAGCAGAAGCCAATTTGCACCCCCATTTTCATCTTGAATGGCTTTGGATTTCAGTAAGAAAACCTGCTCTCTCTCACACATTTACAGCAGGTGCAAGAAAATGAGGAACTGGGTCATGAAACAGCCCCAGAAGAGCTTTCTGAAGAAAAACTGCCTGAAACAGAGATCAAAGTGGACCATGAAGAAACATCCACCAAGGAATCGCTATTCAAAGTGGCCCAGACCCCTGTGAGCGAGATTGACGAGACAGCGACCCTTCCTGCACAGCTGGATAGATCTCACAGTGTACAACTTGAGGGTTACCTGGGGCGGAAGCATGATCTAGAGGCACCTAACAAGAGGGCTTCAAACAGGTACTGGTTGTTCTTTGCATGGCTTCTTCCTTAGCACTGCATGTTGAAAATAGCTTCCCTAATCAACCATGTTACAGAATTGCCATTGCTTTGGGTCACAAGGAGTAGCTTATCTACTACAGAACAACTGAAATGAAGTCAAATTCTATGAATTCACCACAGGTCTGATCAAATGATGAAGATGACCTAACTGGTGGTGCCAATATCATTGGCTCCACAGATGTGAAAGCTCCTTCTGACTCTGGACTTTGTCAAAAGGAGAAATGAAAAGCTTTGTAGCTTCCTTTCCTCAATCATGATGGGGCATATATACCAGCAAGACCAGGGGAAATGTCAATTAATAGATTAGGGATGAATGGGACATAGTGGCTGAGATTTTTTTTTTCCACTGTGATTTTATGGATTGAGGTGGGGAAGCACTGAGGAAGCTTGGTGATGCTCAGGCAGACCTGACTTCAGAGCTGGCTAGATCCCGTCCATAAGTTCAAGGGATGTGGTGTGATCCACAGGACCTTTAAGCCCTCACATGCAAATAGGGCTGCAGATTCAGGTAGACGGTATCTAGCATATCTTAGCAGAGTGTGCTGCTGTTTCCTAATCACTGAGAAATCCCATTGCTACTGCATTGCATCTTATTAAGAAGAAAATCCTGCAGGCAATATATTGCATCTTGTTCCTGAACAAAGCAGCAGCCAACACACACATTGAGAAGTAGGTTGAGAAAGAACAAATCTAGGACATCAGTGAATGTCTGTCTACTTTCCTAGCCTGACCCTTTTAGCTTAGATGTGGTATTTTGGTGTTCATACCAGATAACACAAAGGACTTTATTTTGTCTCCACCTAAGAGGAAAAATCATGTTTTATTACTCAGATCTAAAATGGTTTCCCCCTTTTCCTCAGCCTTTGGAATGCAGTTATGTTTTTCCTCTCACAATTATTCATTTAAAAACATTACTGCTGTGATGTGTATCTCCTTACTGCCCTCATATATCTGTTTATGTAAACTTCCCTGCCTCACACCAGATTCTGAAAATTTCCAGCTTCTCTCCAAGCCTGCACCTCAGTTTTCATTGACTTCAGTTAGATGCTATAGGACTTTTCCAATTCCAGATTGGCCTCAAACTTTCTGTGCCTTTTCCCTTTAGCTGCACAGTAGCACTTCCCACAAACTCTGATGGTGTAACTTGCTGAAATCTGGATTCTAGGCTTTCATTAGAAACATTCTGGAGATACTCATTACATGAAGCTTCTTTTGTAAAAAGTCCCTGGCCACTCACATTAAGAAATATAGCCAAACTCATGATCATCTACACTAAAGTTAGTAAACATCTTTGATAAGCTGAGAAGCATTCAGTATTTCTCCAATGAGTTCTCTTACTCTTCTCAGTTACCTTTCTTGTAGCATGATGTTCTCCCAAAAACAAAAGATTAAGACTAACTTTACTAAAGGTATCTCTAGGTATTGTCTGTTCCCATTTCTAGATAAAGACCTAGATCATGGTCACTAGTTGATTTTAGAAAACTAGTTAGGAAAGAACAAAAACTGTGAATTTGTCTGCCTTCTAAACCTGAAGAGGTGTGAATCAGGTATTTGCCCAGAAGCAAATCCTCTTGTATTTAAGGGGGCTTATATCCTAATAACTGTGCTTAGGAATGCAGCTTTGGAAGAGTCTGACAATTTAATTTAACCTATGGAGTTCCCCATATAATAGCTGCTTGTTCTTGTTAGGTCTTGGAATACATTGTACTGCGTGCTCAGGAACAGTGAGCTGACCTTCTATAAGGATGCCAAGAGCTTGGCCTTGGGTGTGCCTTACCATGGAGAGGAGCCTTTCCGGCTGAAGAATGCCTTCTGTGAAGTAGCTGCAGATTACAAGAAGAAGAAACATGTCTTCAAGTTGAGGTGAGGGCAAGCAGGGGTTAGGCAAAGAGGCAATCCCTCAGCCTAGTGTCCCCGTAGATACAAGGAATAGATGGGCTTTGTGGAAAACAATCAAGAAGCTATCTGAGGAGAAGATGCTTTTTTAAGGGTGTGGTTGAGCTGTATCTTAACATGATTGCTGCAAAACACGTACTGGAAAATGAAGAATGGTAGGAGCTGTGTTGAATCAGACTAGAGACCTGTCTGGTCCAGTGGGCAGCAGCTAAAAGTTGTGGGGAGCCCACATAGGAGACGTGAGGGCGAGAGACCTTTTCCACTGCTGTTGCCTAGCAATGGCTATCCAGAAGTGCATTGCCTCTCATCCGGAGAGTGGCATATAGCCGCAATGTCTAGTAGCCATTAAAGCTTTGCCCTGCAGAAGTGGGTGGCGATCACCACACTTTTTCTTAGCATATTCCATAGACTGGCACTGTGTGAAGAAGTCCTTTATTGTGTTTGCCCTGAATCTTTAACCATTCAGCTGCAGTGGATGATCCTGAGTTTTATGAGAGAAATGTGTCTTCCCTTCTCCACATGTAACTGTTTATGCTTCTGTCCCTATACACCTTACCTGCATTTTTTCTAAGCAGTCACCCCAGGGATTATATCTGTTTTTCAGAAGAAAATTACTTTAGACCCTTGATTATTTTATTTGCTCTTTTTGGCATCTTTCTCTACTCTGCAACTCATCCGTTTTGAGATGTGTGACAAGAACTATATTCCAAGTTTGGCACATTATAGTTTTGTGCAAAGACATTGAGTTGTTTCCTGCTTTATTTTAAATCCCTTTCTTAATGACCCCTAACAAGAAATTTACCTTTTCCACAGTTGCCATTTAACTGGGGTGTTTCCACTGAGCTAACCAGCACAACCCCAAAATCTCTTTCCTGATCAGTTACCATTGCCTCAATCCCTGTCATTTTATATGTAAGGTTAGGATTTTTAAAAGTCTATTTTGCATCACTGTACTTTTTTTTATGCTGACTGGTATGTGCTATTTTATCATCCTGACCCCAAGCATCTTGGACCCATTTGGCCAGTTGTTTTGTCTCTGCTCTGTAGTTAATGCAGTCTTCATACTGGATCGCAGCGGAGAAGTTCTTTGGGGAGCCGGGTGGCAGGAGGGAGTTACTTTTGAATTAAGGGAGATTGAATTAGAAAGTATTTTGATGCTTTACAAGCTTACAATTCTTTGGTTCTTAAAACATGCAAATGTTTGGATCTGATAACTAGAAAAGCTGAAAAGTTACCTGCTCCTCCCAAAACATGCATCTTGCATTCACATTTTTGTCCCTGCAGACTCAGCAATGGGAGTGAATGGCTCTTCCATGGCAAAGATGAGGTAGGTGTTGTCATGCATCGGGGATAACGCATCTGTTGAGGACCAGCCATGCACAGCTGAAAATAGCAGGGTGGTTTTGTCAAGTACTGAACAGTACCATTATTGAGCCATGTATTGTCTCTTCTCACAAGGAAATGGACCATAATTTTGGCAAAGCGTGTAATAAGTTTCTTAGCGTTCGTTTTATCCCCTTGGCCCCAGCTCTGAGCCCATCAATGGGGGCACTAGCCATACTCCGACAACAGTCGTCTGTACTGCTCTGTGCCTCAACTCCTTCCGTTGTGGCTGCAGGGACAACCCTAGTCCAGCGGGAACCAGCGCTGCCTAAACAACCCCCAAAACAAACAGAAGCATTTGTTTGCAGGTGAGCGGAACTTCCTGCTGCATTCTGGAAACAAATGTTTTGGCTTGTTTCTATTTCTTTTAAGGGTGTGTAACTTTCTGCTGTGCTAGCAGAAAGCTCTGCTGAGATGTATACAGTGCCGTATGCTACCTAATCTGTTTGGACTAAAATGGATGAATTTTCAAGCAATGCTTTAGAAATGCAGTAACAAGTGATTTAAAAACAGCTTTTAAAAATCACAGCAACAATTACTGATGCAGAATTTTGAAATGTGCTCTTGATTTTGGGAGGAACAAACTATTTGGTTTTTATAGTTTGACTACTGAAACGTATAAATCTGGGATGTGTGTGTGTTTGTCCCTGTTCTAACAGGATGAGATGCACACCTGGCTTCAGGGCTTCAGCACAGCAATAATCGAATCCCAAAGCATTAAAACCAAGGCCCAAAGCCTGCCTTTGCCTTCCATCACTACCATGGATGTGAGTCTGACCAAGAAAGACAAAGAGAAGAGATTCAGCTTCTTTCCCAAAAAGAAATAGCCAAACTGTGGCTTGCCCCAGTCAGATGCCAATGGTCCGGTGCGCATAATGGGAAAAACTGCATGTGTGAGTGTCCCTGGGCACTCCTAGCACCACTCAACACTGTTCTCGTCTCCTCAACACACAGCCTTGCTTCTCATTGTCCACACCCCCGTATCTTCCCAAAGATTCAGGTCAGAGAGCAACATCCATGCTCTGAGACAACCAGTGTTCTCCAAAGCAAAGCTCTAAGATGAGGCTCCTCAGGCTCACTGGACAGGCTGAGTCCAACAAGACTGAACTTGCATGTGATGCTTTGTAGGCTCAGGTGGTCACCTCTCTGAAAAAGAACTGCTTCAGGAGAAAAATGTTTTGTATGGATTTCAGGGACTTCTTATAGGGAAAAGGAAAGGAACAGGGACCCAGCCAGGTCAAACGGGACTTGAAGAAAACCATTTAAGCTCAGTGTTTGGTTTTGGAGCAGCTCCCCCCCTGCAGCGGAGCTGGAACATGTGTCTCCACGTCTCTACCAAAAGTCAATTCCCATAGCTGCTTTCCCTGTCTTGTGTTGATATCTCTCACACGGAACTTCACAGTCATCGCCAAATCATAAGTGAAAAGTCTCTCTCTCTCAGAAGAACACAAGCAGCATGTGCTGAGGCAGCTTCTGACTTGTTTCAGCACTCATGCTGGAAGTCAGGTTTCAGAAGACCAGGCCCTCCTCTGTGTTAGGAGGTGTAACATACACACACATGCACAGTTCCAGGCCACAAAGCACAGCACTCTCCAAAGTGTTTGATCCGGCATCCACCAAACTGGTGACACTATCCCTGCTGATGCTGACGGATCAGGATTGCAACCAAAGTGGAGAGTATCACTCATGTTCAGACTTCTGCACTATGCTGGTTAGAAAGATACTTTAGAAAAACCCATCTGGGAGAGAGGAACTAGACTCACCTGCTATAAACACTAAGAGCACAACCCAGCTAAAGTTAATTGCAGCCAGGTCCCGCTGGGACTCCCGCCCCATTGATTTCAGTGGGATTTCGCTGCAGTCAACTTTTGCAGCATTGCAATTGATAAGGCTGGATTCATCCTCTTATTTATGCGGGGGTCTACTGTGTGACTTGCCTGAATGTTGGTGCCCTGCCCTGCCCTCCCCTCCGCTTTTTGAAAACATCTGTTCCGTATTGGCTCAGCCCTCCAGAAGCAAATGGCTCCTCCGTTGTTCCCTTAGAGGGCACACTGTGCCTGAGCATGGCCTTTGGCGATTTGTAGCACTGCTTGCACTTCTCTAGAATAGAGTGGCTTCCTGAGTCGCTGAAAATGCAATGCTGGCCACCGCCGCTCCCTTCCGCAGAGACTTCTCTGCCTGCGATATCTGCGTGAATGGCTGTTCAAACACACACACACAGAGCCTGATTTTAAGAAGGCCACAAACCCCTTCCTCAAAGGCAGGAATTCAGGGGCAAACAGCAGATCAGCCAAATCGCTTTTCTAAACTTATTTTTGGGGAGCTAAAGGCCTATCATGAAGAGGAGCCAAGAGATCACCTTTTCCTGCAGCAGCCTTTTCGTAGCGATGATCATGCTGACCAGGGGTTTTAAGGGTTCTTACCATAGCCAACTCCCACTGTTCACGTGTCTGTTGAGCATCCTGGATGCTCATGGGCTCATGGGTGAGTCCATCTCATTTTCATTGTGGATGCCATAAACCATACTGAAAGTGCCTTAACCCAGGGGCATCCCCTCATTAACACTTCAGGAGCAAGCAGGCTCAACAAACACCATGCACAGAACAGTTTGGATTCGCCTCACGGCAGAGAAGCTATAAACCATCTCTTGATGCAAGGGACACCCTTGGGGATTCCCAGGGGCTCAACTTCACCACACGCTCATCAGGCCGCTGTGGGAAATAAGGGAGGTACCTCTCCGCTTGACACAGGCTGTGGTGAATGTGGATCTCGGTGCCGAGAGTGAGGTGTTGCTTTCCGATCAAGTCTCACAATGCCACATTCTGCCAGTTCTCCTGGGCTGTAATTGGAAGTTGCGTGGGCTCTCTTGCCAGCTGATGGACAGATCTGATTTTCCACAGTGCCACCTTTGAGAAGCTAGAATGACACTGCAGCAATACTGTTTCATTACAGTGCTTGGTTTTGTGGATACTGGTAGCATTAACTCCACCCCGTGTTGCTGAGGCAACATTCCCCCTCTTAGTGCCATATTTAAGTGTCACTGCCATAAAGAAAACTTCCTGCCTACCTTCAGAGGTAGAGCACACACTGAGGCATCCTTCAGACCAGCTTTTGATAACTAGAGCTGCATGGCAGATTGTACTACAGCTAACTGATTCTGAAACAGTTATGCTTTTACTTGCCAAGCAGGAAGAACAACACTGAAAAGTAGAACAGGCAGGGTCACTGGACTTGGCATCACTGGGTAAACTTATTATTCACAGTTGGGGACCTTACAGTAAGAAAGAGCAGGCCCATAAACAAACTCAAAACAAATAATCTGCCCACTTTTAAAAATCACAAGGAGTTTAGACAGAGATAGGTGAAACGGCTTGTTGTAACAGCTAGGCTGCCAATTTGCCACAGGACTGGTGCTACAGAAAACTGGCCCAATCCTGTGCAGCTATAAAACCCATTCAGATCAAAGAGGTGCTGGGTTGGGCTGTTTGGGTGGGGAGGGGCACCCACACATGAGGTAACAAACTGATCTGGAAAAGTGGCTCTTGGTAGAAGGCCTTCCATCTGGTAGGCAGATCAGTTTCAAAATTACAGCATGAAAATAAAGCTTGAAGACAGTGTTTGGTCACCTGCTCCAGGATGGAGAATCTTGCACCAGGTATCTTGGATTCATGTCAAGCTTAGTTTGGGACCTCTCTGCACCTATGCAGGAAGCAGCCTCACCTAAACAGGGAGTGCTGTGCCTGGCCTGGCCGCCTTCCCTCAAAGAAGTTCAAGTCTTCTCTCTCATAATCAGCACTGATTAATGGCACCCTTCATCTTTCCGTCATCCTTAAATTAGTGTGCTCAAAGAGAAGGATTTCCCCTATGCTTCCAATTCATGCTTATGGGGAAGAGAATACCGATCCACACTAAGTACAGAATAAATCAGTTGGGTCACAAAAAAGGGGTTTGAGCTTGGTATTTCAGTGTGGAAAAAAGCAGCTTGTGTAAAAGTGCAGCTCTCACACCAGGAGAGGCAGCAGTTAATGAGCAATCAGGATTCCATTAGGGGTTTCATTTGTTTAGGGGAAAAATGGAAAAGAATAAAGCACATGAGAATTTGGGGGGGGGGGACTGAATTGATTTTTGCAAAGGCCCCTGAGAAAAGAAATATTTATTAATGTTCTTTAGCCCTTTACATGTATTCTAGATAGCAAGGCCAGCCATGGAGTCCTTTCTTGGAGGATATGGCCACCTATCATTCTTGAGTTTGACGTACGGTGCGATGCTCCTTTTCAGGAAACTAAAAACATAAAAGTTAGGCTAAAATACTCTTCTATTCCTCTTGTATGACCATCGCCCTGCACTGGAATATGTGTTAACAGGAAGTTGCTGTATATCCCCCTTAAAGTTTTTACTATCTTGTTTCTCTTAACCAACTATGGGCTGTGCTCCCAGACCCATTCGGAAATTTGGTCTCAGCCTGGCAAGTGACAAGCACTCTTGTCTGTGTGCCACTATGTTTTACTGCGTTGTACTTCCACCCATTACCCAGCAGGAACCATTTGCTGTCTGGCGACTTGCAGCCTCACCCTGCCTGGCTCCAGCTCTCCCTTCTCCGTAGGCTTGATCTGCAAAGCAATGACACTTCTGTTAGGCTGCTCTTCCATCAAGCTTAGCTCTCCAAGACCCCACTGATACAGAGGTCGGGCTGTGTTAGACGGGAGCTTCACATCACCAGGCCCAGAACAGAGTTTGCTTCAGAGTAGCAAGGGCTGTTTCTGGGCGGTCGAGAGAGCAGCAGAAGTAGCCCAGGAACTCTCCTACAAGTTCATGGGGTTGGGGTTAATACTCTTTTAACAGCTAGGCACCAAGTTCCACCTGCTCCAATGTGCTTCCACTGTCCAGAGAAAAAGAGCTAAAGCTTCAGAATGTGCTTCAGAAGCAATTTAATAACATTTTTAAAATAAACAATAAACAAACCCTTTCTGGCTTTGGGATTTTGTGTGCAATTTCTATCACTACTGGTACAGAAGTCCTGGCTGCACATCTCCATTCAGTCCTGATTTTACCAGGTGGCCTTAGCTATGCCACTACTGGAAATTATGGATGCTACTAACCTACTTTATAGGGGTATGATGATGATGGTTTTGTGATACGATGCAAAGTGTTTTAAGTGCATAAAGGACAGCTTTGGATGAGCACTTATATCATTAGGAGCATGCAGTTACAGTCCTAGACTGAAGAAACAATATAGTTAAACAGTTGCCTTGCCTGAAAGTTCAGGCTTTATGCCATACTCTCCTGTGCTTGCTCCAGTGCAAAGACGCCATTCTTCCCCTTTTCTGCTTCCGAGCTACCAGTACACAATGCCATCATTCTACTCTTTCATCTCACATCCCAAAAGTTATTTGGAATCATCTTTAAAACAATTCTGGCATGTCCAAATATTCTTTGGGATAGTCTTTTTACCAGGAGGCTGGGAGGGAGTAGTGGTGTAGCTTTTTTATTTAAACTTGTAAATTAAAGGAGATTGTGACTGCTTCTTTGACATATGCTAAGGAAATAACTAAAATGTGTGGTTACTTTAAATATTTTGAGGCCCTACTTTATCTAGCGGTAATGAAAAACCCACTGCCACACCCTGAATTCTTCCCTCCTGCTATCTGTCCCCTTCATTTGTTGTCACTGCCTGACCTTCACCCCAGCATATAGTACTGTAATAAGGCTAGCCAACTAGTTTCTCATAGCAGCTTCCTTGCTGGAGCTATGCATTCCCTTAGGCAAATCTTAGAAAGGCTGATCTGGAGCATTCCATAGGCCTTAGCAGGAGTGAACACAGTTGAAGTCCTCTGCCTATTTTGGTCTCACAAGTCTCGCCTGAGAGGAAGTGGAACGATCTGCAGTTGTTACTCTGATATCGTAAAGAGCACGAAGGTGGTGTGCTTGGAGAAGCACTGGATCCACAGGAAGTAGGGCCTTCCTGTTCCCCAGCAGGTCCACAGAATGACAAGGGGACTACACCAGTCCTGGAACTGGCATAGCTTGCTTTCCTCCCGGTGGAATTCATAGAAGGTAAACTGTTAATAGAAAACAAAAAGCTCTGCAACAATGAGAAAGAGATGAGGAACAAAGCACCGGCATCCTCACCTTCTGCCTGCAAGGCATAGGAAAGGGCAGTTCTCCCACTTCGGATTCTCCTCCTCATGCCCTATCAGACTGCTGTACCTGAGAACGCAGTGCACCTGGCATCAACGAACCTATTACACTAGAAGGCAAGGCTGGGGAAGCAGCAGCTCTCCAGGCACCACATTATAGATCCTCAAACATCCTAAAATCATGGTAGGCAAGATCTACACCAGTGTTAGCCCATGTCACCAATGACCTTGGAGAGATTTGTGACGCCAGGACTCCTCATTCTTGCCTTTGCCGTTTTGAACCCATGAAATCCAGTGCAAAAACTAAATACTGCCACTTTCCAATTCTTCACCCCACCACACAAGTGAAGGAGCCAAAGCCATATACTCTGATCAAAAGTGGTTATTGCACAGTGCGTACAGGCTGAAATGTGTACACAACCAGTATTATTAGATTATATGTTCTCAAACTGGGAGGGCTGGAACCAAGCAAAACTCCCAACCACAGTAAAATTACATTCTTTTAAAAAATAAAACATGAAACAAAAGAGGGCTTGGGGAAATAACTTACTCTCCTGTAAGACTGATCAACAGAAGGTTTGTCCATTTCCACACTGGCTTGACAAGGCAGGAATTTCCCAACCTTGCCTGACCTTGGAGGGAGAAACCTACCTTTTCTCAGTAGGCCACATGAGTAGCTGATTTATGATACAGTGCTCTAAGGGGGAGGCCCTTGATGCTTCTAGGAGATGTACTAAGATTACTGCCAATAGCATTGCCAACGGGGCACCAGTAGCAAGGCAGTAACAGGGTCAGGCCATTTAAGGAGAGAAACAACCCAGCTTAGAATGCACAACCATGGAAGAACTCCTTGTCAGAGGCTGCAGCTTCCTGGAAGTTCGTGACAGCTGCCCACATGAGACAGCGCACAGTGAGTAAAGAGAATCTGAGTGGCACCTCCAAGAAGGAAAGCCATTGTTGCCAGTTCTGTCCCAGAGCTAAAGAGGTTGGAAAAGGTGATGAGGTCCCATCGAAGGCTCCCTCAAGAACTTTCCTATGTTTCACTTAGGGGCACAGGAGCATGATGCAGATGCTCAACTGATGGAATTCAGGGTCTGGAATTTCTCCCTCAGGTTCTTCACCAGGCTCTGCTGGCTGTTGTCTGTTTTCTCCCACAAGTCTTGTCGAAGTGCCTTCTGGGGAGACACGTCCTGAAAGTCCTGCTCGTGCCTGCGGTATTCCTCTGAGTCCTGGTAAGCCTTGCACCGCTCCACCACAGCCTTGAGAGAGATCTTCTCCCGAGATGTAGGGGAGCGAATCTGTACATAGCTTTCATCCAGTTCCCCAGTCCCATCCAGCAGCTTCTCTGTGACAATCACCCGTTGATTGTTCTCCAAAGAGGCTTCGGCTGTGACACGTAATTCCTCATGAGCATTGAAGCTATGATCCTTCAGGACGGAGTCAAGGGAGCCCTTTCCTCTGCTGTTCTGTACCACCCCTTCCTGAGATTTTGCGCCTGCATTCACATTCCTCTTTGGGTGCTGCTGATCTGCTGGCATCCTCTCTGCATCCATCATTTTCTCTGGTGCCGAGCGGCTCCTGTTGACAGGCAGGGGCCTGCCCTTCTCAGCCCTGTTCTGACAGGAATACTTGGACCTCAACTCTCGCACATCTGGCCAGCTGAACTTCTCGGCTACAACGGGGCTGATGGGACTGTGTGAGAGGGTGCTGGTGGGGGAAATGAGGTGAGGGCTACTAGCGCATGGGCTGAAAGAGAAGCGCTTGGGTGACTTCTGCAATGAGGATGATGAGGATGAGGAAAGCAGGGCTACTGGGCTGGCCTCCTGCAGCACAACTTGCTCGTAGTTGAAGAGGCTCAAGGTGGGCTTCCATTTGCCTAGGAGAGAAAACCAACAAGCAGTGAGTGAGGTGCTGCTGGGGCAGGAAGACATGGCCAACATTTGGGACAAACTGACTGCAATGGGGGCAGGGGGGGCACTGTTCCTAATCTCAAAACCCAGAAGTTTAGTTAACTGTGATCCCAAATCACTCACTCAAAGGCAAAGAGAAAAGTAGGATCTGTACTGCTCAGCCTGGGAAACAGAGTGACTTTCGGTCATCAAAATTTGGTCTATTTTGGTTTATCAAAATATCCCAGGGAATGGGGGCACCTATTCTCATGGAAACCTTTAGCACCCACAGGAAGATCTGCATCAGAAAGAGCCTCTTCCTCACCACTCTAGGAACTTCTTTTGATTCCACTCAGACATACCTGAATGGGGCACTGGAAACCTGTTTTCAACAAGACCTGTTCTGAAGAAACCAACATATTGTTCTACTCTAAAGGACAGTAATTCGATTCAATTAATCGAGAGAGTGGGGACGAGCCTGTGACGAGTGCATACTCTGCAAGTCAGTAGTGACCCAACCTAGCATCCCTGTCTCACTTGAGAGGCCTCTGTGTGCAATCCCTGGAACAGGAATGGTTGTTGAGAGTAGAGAAGTTAAGAAGACCATGCTTATGAGTGACTTGTGGTGTGAGCAGATCTTTTCAGTTCACCTTCCTGAAAAGAAATCTAAGTTGAAGGAAGGTATCTACCAAGATCATCTCCCAAATCCATGCAAAGTCCGCAGGATGAAGACCATCGTTGGAAAAGCCCTACTGGGGACTTAAGTGATCACTCCTCCTAACCCTTCAGGACTCCAAGAGGTACTTAAGACTGGTGGTTGATCACAACTGAAGAAGGCAAGTTGGCATCTGAGAAGGCAACTGAGGGAAGACTTCTGTTAGGTTGTGGTGATAGTAATCCTGGTCCCCAGAGTGGCCCAAAAAGAAGCCATGTTAGGGAGGAACAAAGGAGACTTCTGCACAAATGCAAGAACAACACTTCCCAAAGAGGGAAAAAACACTTCTTTCCATTAGCCTGTGTCTTGGGTGAAGACTGTGCAGGCAAGAAAGTGCTGCCTCTCCTTGCCTCGTATTTATCAGCCCAAGAAGCCGAGATAAGAGAAATGGATAAAGGAACACAGAAATCAGTAAGAAACAAATCAATAGAATTTTGGATAAAGGAAAGGCACTCTAGAAACAGAGCCAAGCAAAAAGTATTGCCAGATCAGCTTCCTCACTCTAGGAGGGAACAGAAACTGCAGAGAGGGAGCCCCTACACACATTCTGGCCATTTAACTTTATTCCCCTAGGTCTTGAGGCAGTAAACTTGCCACCCCACCAGAAGGTCTTTTTTGTCAACACGCAGAGAATGAGCCCACCAAAATCTACTTCCTTTGCAAAATGTATGACAGTTGCAGAATGGATCTCTTCTTGGTGAGGAAACGGTTTGGGGAATTCTTGTTTTTACACACCCCTTTATGGTGACAGGGCCCAAACATCTCTGCTTCAGGGAGAGAAACAGGAAGACTAAGACTAGCTCTCTCTCTGGTTTCAAAACACTTTGGAATAGGTGCAAGTGCGAAATACAGTAGCCAGGCTGGTTTCTGGGATTTGCTTTCTGCATCACATCCGTACAGTTCTGATGACTCTGGACAGGCTTCCAGTTACTTCCAGAGCTCGATGCAATGCACTGGCTCTGACTTACAAAGCCCTAAAGAGCAATGGGCAGGACTGCTTCCTTCTCCCACGTGGATGTGTTCTTCCACCACGCTCATGATCAAAAGCCGTGTTTCGTGTGCCACAGCAGCAGGGGTTCAGCCAGCTGGGTCATGCGGTGCAGCTCCCCACAGCTCGGGAACTCCCTCTCGAGAAAGGCCTGGCCAGCTCTCACCAGTGACGGGGTTTCTAGGCAGGCTGTTCCACATGCCCTAATTCTGCCAGGCCACTGACCTGTTTTCAATTATTTCCTGCCACTTGGATTTGTTTATGGCTCTCCTTTAATATTCTCTATTTTTGCACTGTATAATTTTAATTTTGTAAGCTGCCTAGGGAGACTTTTGGAAGGCCAAAAAAGCAGAATACATTTTTTTTTTTTAAAGCCATGATGGGATGTTTGCAGAGCCCCTTCTGCAGTCAACTTTAAAGGCAGGGCTGCTGTGACTGTCACTACTATGACTGCTACAAACACCTTTCAGTATTTTTTTTACTATGGCTGTTAAAACTATTCCATATTTGGCACATTATGTATTATTCTTTCCTTTTTGAAATGAAACTGCCACTAAATTTGTGCCAAAAAAGTCATTGTTCCAAAATGTAAAAAAACCCCAAAACCCTAAAACCAAATAATTTTCTTTCTTTCTTCTCACAGCAACCCCGCTGTTAGCTCTGGCTTCTAGGCATTTAAGAGGAGTAGAGAGTAAGAGCAATGATGGGTTGCTCCTCACAGCCCAGCGTCCCTTGAGCAGTACCTACCCTTGCCTTTCTTCTCGGACTCCAGCTGGCCGGTCGAGGCACCGCTGTTCATCTCCTCCACCTCAGCAGGTCCCCTGTGCACCGGGGGCTTGTGGCCCTTGATGCGAAGGCTGTACTGGCGGGCCAGGTGGTAAACCTTGTTACTCAGCTTCTCCATCAGCTCCGCCTCAGTCAGGCCGGCCAGTTGCATTATATGGGGGTGCAATGAGGGGAGCCCCCGCTCTTGCTCACAGTGTCCCAGCCTCCAGGACCACCTGGAGGGTGCAGCCCGTTCCACTGGGGACTTGCTTTCGGGGGAGGGCACCGCTGACTCCTCCGCAATGGCACCGAGATCCTCATCCTCCAGGATCAGCAACGGCTCGTGAAGGTCAAAGCCATTCTCTTGGTCCTTCAGCCTGTCTTTCATGGGGCGCTCCATGTGCTGCGGGGAGGCAGCCGCAGCCGCTGGCCCATTTGCCATGCCTGTCCTGGTGCCGCTGTCCACCCTCCTACTCCAGAGGCCCTTCCGGGGTTTCTCCATCTCCTCCCAGACTTTCACCATCTCACCAGATGGCCTGAATTCTGCATCAGTGATGGGATTTTCCGCACAGGATGCATCGGAGGGGGCAGCCTGGGGCTGAACGGCTGGCCTATTGGACAACACCCAGGCTGCGGTCCGGCCGGCCCCACTGCTGCCCGTGGAGCCTAGCCTTTTCCTTTTCAGCACGTCCTGGCCTGGCTCTGGCTGCGGGAGACTGTTGATTCTGAACACCGAATTCCTCACCAGCCCCTTGGGAATGTAGGACAGGCTCTCCCTCCGCTTAACACTGAAGCTGGCATCCTGGTGCTCAGCGTAATCATAGTAGCTCTTGATCTTGTTCAAGAGCAGCCGGTCCTGCTGGGACAGCATGGATTCCTTCCGTCGACACGCGGTCCGGTCCGTCTCAAGCAGGCCCAGTGAGGCCGCCCCACTGGGGACAGCAATGGGTGCCGCCGGGGCCTCTGGCGGCAGGCCGGTGGCCCCAGCCTGGGAGTCAGCGGTGCTGCCATTGCGACACGTGGCCGTCTCGCTGCCGTCAAGGCTTAGGGCGCTGCCACACTGGCTGGCCTGCTTTGGGGTCAGGAAGCCTTTCCCCTCCTCGAGGGCCAGGCTGCTGCGCCGGGAGAGGTTGCTGGTAAAGCGCTCCGCAATGATGCTGGCCTGATCCAGCACCGACAAAGGAAGGATGCTTCTGGACTGGGGTGCATGTCCCTCTTCGCCCCCCTCTTCCTCTTCCTCCTCCTCCTCCTCCTCCTCACTGCTAAGAGGTTTTAGCTCTTCTGTGCCCTCAGTGGGCTCCAAGCTATCGGGGCACTGGCCCAGGAGCCCATCCTGGTCTGCTGAGGCAGGCCCCAGCATCCCTGTGGACTCGGGGTCTGAAGCACTCTCTTCTGGGCACCCTTCCTCATGAGAAGCGTCTTGCTCTCGGCCAATCTCCACGGCTGATCGAGCCTGGGAAGCAAACCAGAGAGCAGGTCTGAGGGACAGAAGACTTCACCTGCTCCTTATTAGGGGAGACAACTCTCTGGCCTCGCAGCTTATAGAGGCATGTGAAGCCCTGTCAGCAGTTGCTGTACAAGCACAGACAAATCTGGTCAGTTCACTCAAGGTGTTCTTACTGTTTCGGCTACATCTGCTCCTATGTGGTCTTTCTATCCCACCCCTCTTCTAATAAGTAAAGGCTTTCCAGGCAAAGAATTTGGTACCCACCCCAAGCTAGTTTTTAACAGACGGTAGCAATATCATTCTTCCGAACCAAGACACAGTCTGTTTGAAAGAGATGGTGCTGTGTCCAACGGGGGAAATGAAGAGCAGAGACAGAATGGCCATAGATGCAGGCAAGAAAGTGCCTGGGTGCTTCCGACAAGGCTTTTCCTGTGCAACTGCGGTCTGCATCCACAGACTGTTATGAGACATGCAGTCGTTAATTTGTGGCCTTCCCATGTCTTTCTGCCACTGCTTCCTCCTCTTGTGACACAGCTGCACAAGAGGTGACACAGCTGCACAATGCTTTTGACTCCTAGTGCCAGCGGCCTTCCATCTCAGCCTTCCCCAGTGTGATACCATCCAGATATTTGAACTGCAAATCCCATCAGCCTCAGTCACTATGGCCAGTGGTCAGGAATGCTGGGAACTGCAGTCCAGCACATCTGGAAAGGGAAGCTTGTCTGTCTAGATCATGGCTCCTCAAACTAAGGCCCGTGGGCCGGATCTGGCCAGCCGTGCCCTTTCAACGGGCCCACGCCACACGTTTTGCACTTGCTGGGCGCGTGTGCGGCTTGCTCATGAGGAGGTCGTTTTGGAAACACTTGGAGAAAATGATCTCATGAGCAAGTCGGCGCCTCGCCATGTGAGCGCCTGGCAGCAGCTTGCTCACGAGGTCGTCGTTTCGGACTCGCTCGGAAATGATCTCCTTGTGAGCAAGCCGATGCCTCACCCCGTGTGCCCCCCCGTCTCGCCTCACGCGCGTGCACGTGCCCTTGGCGGCCCGCAGCCACCGCTAGCACCCGTCCCCCTGTTCAAAACGTTTGAGGACCCCCGGCCTAGATGCCTCTCTCTGTCCCAGTCTGGTCTGAGCGAGAACTCTGCCTCCCCGGCAGCACATGGGGCAGTGCCTGGGCCAACCAGCTGCCTACCCACCTTCGGGAGAGACGAGACAGTCTTCACGATCCTGTTCTTCTCACTGCCACCTGGCGACTGGCATGGCTTGGGCCCTTCCTGTGCCTTGTGGCCCTTGCCCTGCATCAAAGCAAAAGCATTATTGTTACAGCATTGAGTAAATGCGCTTGGGAAGGGAACTGACATGCTTACACAAGTTGATGAGACAAAGGCAGCCAGACACCTTTTGCTATTTACCCTCCTGAAGCACCTTACAGCCCTCATTTCTGCTTTAACGAGTATCCCCATTGTACAGATGAAGACAGAGACTCGCTTGCGCCAACCACTGAAATGCATTCATGGGTGATCAACTGCTTCTGCACAGGCCCAGGTCCAATATTTTAGCCACTGGATCCAGTGATTTAAACGTCCTTCCACAACAAATACCATTACAAATTCCAATTCTTTCCAGGCAAACAGCTCTGAGGCCGAGTCTCTAGAAGCCTTGAAACAGTTGGGTAAGGACAGTTGAATGGGGCACTGAAGAAAACTGTTTCCAATGCACACAGTTAGTGCTGCACTCATGGAAGGTCCAAAGCACAGACCTTGATATGGACTTGGTAAGGATCCTGCCTTGCATCAGCTTCTTTTCACTGGCAAGCTGCTAATGGGGCAGAACATCCCAGGCAAAAGAAAAGGGATGGCAGAAAAGCGACCTCCCATGGAGACAGGGATGGTAAGAACCCCCACGCGCCTCTGGTTATCAAGCCACCAATTTCATTAGCCTGGACGAGAGTGAGCAGCGCATCCAGTCAGTCAAGAGGACCACATATGGGTTAAACAGAATCGCAGGCAGGGGGCCTGCTGTAAGGCTCATGTCAGATGAAGCAGAGGGTTTTAGAAAGACAGCCGAAAACAACACAGGGCAGCCAAGAGCCATGCACCAAGCCAGCATGCACCGGGGACGTGGCAGGGGTTGAACAGGCACCTCACCGTGCTGCCCCAGGAGAAAAGCAAAGCGTTGGCTCGATAGTGCCAGCAATGGAGGACGGCCATCAAGGAGCTTGCAAAGTCTGCCACCTGCGCCGTTCCTACCAGCCTCTCTTCTTCTTCTTCTTCCTCCTCTTCCTCCTCCTCCTCCTCTTCTTCTAGCCCCACTTCCTTCTCGCTGCCATCACTTTCAGCCAACGCTTCTGGAGATTCCTGTAGAAGGGTCTGCCGATCCTCATTCCGGGGAACACTCTTGGGGGGCTGTGGGGCTTCCCCAAACTCCAAAAGGACTCCATCACTACCTGCATGCTGTTTGACGTGGGGGCAAGCAAGGGCTCCCTTTAGAAAGGCTGGGGCACCAGTGCTAGGACACCAGTGGGGTTCCCAGCTGGCTCGCCTGTGTTTGTGAGCCGCTTGCGAGCAGCAGGTCATGATTCAGAGCTGCGGAGAACTTGCCTCCCACTCTTGGAGAGATTACAGTGTCCAAGAGGAAATATCAACACACTCATTTAAGAAGGTGCTTTGTAAAGGACCTAAGGCCCATTACAAGTCACCCATCACTTTTAAGTTCCTTAAATGAAAAGTGGATCTTTCTTTCCCTTCCAGAATTCCAGGATCTTACCTTTATTCCTGTTGCCAGTTGTACAGCACATAAAAAAAGAAGACAGAGGCAATTGAGCAAAGTGTGGGGCTTCAGGCTCCTGCTTGTACACCCCCCCACCTTGAGTGCCATTTGCTGGTCCCTGTCCCCAGTCTGCATTTCTGGTATAACCGCTACAGCCAGAAAACCAAAGCTGGCAAAGAACCTTGCATGTGCTGCCCTGTGGATCTGTCCTTACAGCTGCTTTTCGTGTCCATGCAGAGAAGGCAGTGGGTCAGCCACTTGGTAACAGAGATGCACTCCTCAAAGGGTGCCCATTAAATGTACCGGAGAGCCACTTGTAAGCTCTCCTGTACATTTGGAGAGCTCTCCTGGAAAGCCACAACTCCCACCATCGCTCCTTACTAGCTATGCAAATTAGGGCTGATGGGAGTTGTGGCCCTCCAGATCTTTTGGCCTACAAGTTGCCCATCCTAATGTAGAAGGGTTCACTCAAGAGCAGACCCTTCAGAGAGATCTCCCAGCCAGTCTTTTCACCTCTAGGCTTTCTTGCTTAGTGATACACAAAGGTGGCTGTTGCTCCCGTCTGAGATAAAAGAAAGCAAAAGGCAGATATCTGCCAACTCTGAACCCACAACAAACTAGGAAGTCTGCACAAAGGAAAAGGGGAATTCTCTCACCTTTGTTGCTGAGTTGTTTGAGGATCTCTTTTGTTGGCTCTGTGATGAAAGCAAAGTTTGCAGGGTTAGTCCCTGAAACACCATTTCTGGTTCGGAGCCCGGAAGCACCCAAGGTGTTCTAGAAAAACAGCCCTTCAGCACCAGCTTGAGCCCACAACCTCTGCCCTCCAGAAGGAAACACCTTGAAGCATCCAAGGGGAAAGTACAACAGCCCTGGCCTCTCCCGGGCAGAGCAGAATATGCCTCTCAGTCAATGTCCCCTCCAGTCTATCATCTGGGTTTGTAAGCCAAGAACCAAATGAACCAGGAGATCAGGCAGGGCTTCAGAAATCAAAAACAAAACCCCTCTTTCCCCTTCTACTGTCATACTGATAGGCTCTGTATACTTGGTGACTTGGAGCCACACCTGGATTTTTTTTTAATTTTTAAACTATCAGAAGACGTGATGCAAACTCAGCAAAGTTACCCGCAAGATTTATCATGCAGGATTTATTCTGCTTGGAAGAGTCACATTTCTAAGAGAACACAGGATTCTTCTAGCAATGGCTGGAAGGAAGGAAGTGTACAGGCATGCAGCAGTGTGTGTGGCAAACAGCTAACATGGAGGAAGGCCAAGAACTGGGGCAGGACACCGAAGCCTCACTTCCTAGCTGGATTATTATGTTGTGAGCCGCCCCGAGGCTACGGCAAGGGGCGGCATAGAAATGTTTTAATACATAAATAAATAATAAATTGTCCCCTGCGTGGTGTCTGGAGGCTCCTGAGACACTGTGAGGCGGCCCAGCCCTTCTCCATGGCCACAGGAACTAGAAATCCTCACACAGAGGAGGAGGATGAGAAGCAGCGCTCTCTCAGTGCCACCTGCTGCATCAGACAGCCAGTGTCTGGTCCCACGGAAGAGGTTCCCACAGCCCCGTGCGTCTGACTTGCGATTGCCACTGCCACCCAATGAGTCTGTGAGGGACTGAGAGGCATGTTCAGCAAAGCCCGTGCACCGGAGGAAGCTGTGGCACCACCAGAGAGCAGAGACCCTTCCTCCCACATGCGGAACTACTGGAGCTCACACCCGATTTTCTGCGGGCTTTCAGCCCTGATGCGGCAGAGCGGTGGAGTCCATCTGGGAGCTTCTCGACACTGTTTTTGCCATGGAAGGGTTCTAAAGACAGGACAGGAGAGACCCGTTAGTGCCGATGCCGTCTTCCGAGCACAAAGGCCTGCTGCGCCTGGGACATCCTATCTCAGGAAGGGGTGGAACAGGGCCTGTGTTAGCAGGCAGCGTCCTGGGGGCTGAGGGTCCATGTGGCCCTTTCTGGAGGAGCACTCAGCGAGCGCCCCTGGAAATGCCCACGATGCCTTGCAGCAGGGCCACATCACTGCAGTGCCAGCAGGAACAGCTGCGGTGGGGACTGTCACCCGGCACACCTCAGGGAATGCCACTCCTGCCGCCTACACTCTCCTCCTTCGAAAAAGCCGCCTGCCCCCTATTTGGGGGGAGGGGCTGCCCGCCAGCACAGGGTCCTGCCAGGGAACCATATTCTGTGAGCAGTGATGCAGGGCAGAACACTTTCCCGTGCTTCATCTTTCCCCTCATACATTCTTTAGTAACAGTGGATGATGCCAAAGGCAAATACAACAGCAGACAGGCACAGCTGTTTCCAAGTTCTAGCCGGGTGCTTGTTGGCCCAGCATGCACAGTCCTTGGGTTCCTAACATGTGTTAGCATGTCAGCCTTCAATACCCTCCCTCCACACCACCCCAAGTCCAAATGTAACCAATGTAAGGGAAATGCGTACTATTTTCTTTAAATCTTTTCAAGTATTCCAAAAAAATAATTGCACATAATATAGCATTTAAATTACATTCAGTGTGATTTAATTCCCCAGCTCTCTGCTCAGGTATGTCAGGTCAAATATTTGCATTGGTACCACAAGTAAAAATTATGAGGTACTTTTAAAAGCTTTGTCATTTACTAAATCATACCTAGAATAGAAGTGATAAATTAGATCACTCCTGAAGATGTAAGAACATAAAATTCTCTGATGCAAACACCACTAGGTAGGACAGTCTAATTCCGGGAAACCTGCATCACTGGCTTTGAGCTGCTCAGGCCTGGTGTCTGCCCTGGCTTGGGCCTCCCTACTTATAGCAGCCTACCCAAACCTGGCACCCCCGTGTTCTGAGTGGCCACTCCCAGCATTTCTGACCATTGGCCACTCTAAGAGTGACGGGCACAAGTCGCGGCACCAAATGTCTGGTGCACCCCAGGTGGAGAAGGCTCCCTTCCCCACTCTTACGGCCCCTTACAGATCGTGTGCATGTGCTCTGGGGGTAGAGGTGGCACTGGAAAGTCCGTGCCCTCTGGTTGCAAGGCGTTTGGATGCCACTAGCCCAGTCCAGGCATTACGCCCTCACGTGATTACGCTCCCAGGATGGGGGAGCAGAGTTGCAGGCGCTGGCCTCACTGCTGGACCTGCCACCCGCCATCCATCTATCCATCCATCCACGCACGGAGAGAGTTCTGATGTGGGGAGCCTGCTCAATATGGGTAAAGCCCCATGTGATTCAGGATGGACCAGGACGAGAAGGGAACATCTTCACATGCTCTGATATCTGCTTGGGAGCTGTCAACATGATTGCAAAGTTCCACCATTTCCCAGAAGCTCCCCACTTCAAAATGTATCTTCTGACATGCAAGGAGGAGGCAGGGACAAGGGACAGGAAGGAGACAACCATCACGTGAGTGTAATTGTGTGAGGACTTTACAGCATTACAGTTTGTATATGCTTGAGAGAGGCCCATTTTCTCATGATACCTGGGTCACCTTTGTCTGCTAAAGACCTGAAACTAGGAAAAAAGGACCAGCTGCTCATCTCTAGATCCTCCAGCTTCTGGATGCTTTGACTGGCCTCAGCTCTAGCCCACATAGCTAACCATGAGAGATCATGGGAGTTTTGGCCTTGCAAATATTTTGGCCTACAAGTTGCCCAGTGAGTGAATTGCCTTTTGTAAAATGGCCTAGAGGCGAGTTTGCACTGCAGAAATCAAGAGGTAAACCATGGCCGTTCCCGTTGGCACAACAGTCAAGGATTAAAATATGCACAGAAGACTTAGCAGTTTTGCATGATACACAAACTCAGCCCAACACACACCCTTTGTTAGGGAAAGAGGCTGAGTAGGGACAAAAGGAATTTAGAGCCTCATCCATGTTCGAACAGAAATTACAACATCCATGGAACCAGTCTTGCTTGTCCTGTGTAGGCTTGCTGGTTGTCCTGACACATTGGGCCTGGGGGTAGTTCAGAAGGGACAGTGGGAGGGGTCATTTTGGTTCTCAGCTCCTTCAATCACAAGGGACTGGGAGAGAAAGAATGGGAAAGCCACTTCAGATTGGGAAAGATTGTACCAGAGCAGATGGGAGGCAGGACTGGCCAAAATAGGTCAAGACAGAGTGCCCACCGACCATGAATGAAGAAGCAGCTTGCCCCAAACGTTACAGAGGAATGACAAATACTTCAAATAGTGGGCATTTCAGTTATAACAGCTCTGCTGGATCAGAGCAAAGGATCTTTCTAGCCCAGCTGCCCTTTTCCCAAAAGCAGCCAGAGGTGCGCCTCTGGGACACCCACAAGCAGGAGAAGCCCACAGTGTCATCATCACCAAGGTTATGACCTGCAGCTGACCAGGCCAAGCTGGCGCTCTCTAATGTTCTCTCATTCACCATCTTCCGAAGGAAAACAGCCAGTCTTGATGCAAAAGTCTGTACCCTCCATTGATGCCCTTCCAAAGATGGAGCGTGCTGGGTTTGGTCTCTGAGAACAAGCAGCACAAAACAAGCTGGGTGGCTCTTGTTCCTGGGCTAAGTGCTGCAGGCCCTGGAGTGCGTAAGCTTCCAGGCTACGCTCCTTCCCTTGTCACTGGTATTGCTCTGGAGAGGGAACGGGCACTGCTCACAATACCAGCAGTACTGCGCTATTCCTTCTTTCTGCTCTGAGCAGGCTGATATGTTAGAATTAATGTGTGCAAATGAAGTTAAACCCTGATAAGAAATCTACAGGCAGCATGAACAGCCTCAAACACACACCACACACCAATAGCAAGGGCCATGAGTAATTCCCCGTCCTTCCCTCCCTGATGCAGGAACATCTTTTCGAGCTAGTGGGATATAAACAGCCCTGTTCTGCACAAGTCATTCTGCAGAGTTGCCAAACCACAAGGCTTTGCTGGTCAGGCTTTGCCTCCTCTCTGTTGCCATAGCCTCAGGTCATCTGCACAGTATTTCTAGGTCTTTCCTGCTTGCTTCCTTTTCTTTGCTCCTAAATTTCACTCTGTTCCAAATAATTTTAGCATTGCCCTCATCATTATTGCTGAATTCCCTGCCTCTGAAGCTGAGAGGACAAATTAACAGCAACGCCAAGGGGAAAATTCCCATAGAGCTGTCCAGAATAAATAATTGCATTCTCTTAGCACGGCCTGCGTGTGCCCTGCGCCAGAGGTCACGAGGCCTCGGCAGAGTAAACACTTGAGCACCTGTCAGCTGCACTGATCTCTACAGCAAAATACAAATGCTTGACGCCAACCTCACAACTAAGAAGAGCTGCAATTACGCAAACAAACAGTCTAACCTAAGCTGCCAGGAATATTCTGGCACTGTTATTGTATAATCCAGTCCTACTCTGCACACACAAGACGGTCCACAAGGATGCGGAGTCAGCTATTTGCCCGCCGCATGACTGCCCGGACAGCCACGTCCCTACCTGACTGCCGTCTCCCCTGGCGACCATGTTGGGAGATGTCCTCTGTAGTTTGCCAAGACTTCTTCAGCCGCTCTGGACTGTATTTGAAGTAAGAGGGATCTGAAAGGAGGAAGCGAGTGTGTGTGAAGGTATGGCCCGGACGCGGCAAGCCAACAGCATCCTACTCACCACTGTTACCCCTCAGGAGAGCACACGCAACAGCAGATGCTCCATTAGCAAACTCAGGCTCCGCCCTTCACCCAAGAGGGTGGCAGTTATATTCAGTGATGAGATTCAGGGCTTCGGAAAGGGTTGCTGCATCCCTCAGAATCTCAGCCTGAAACTGGATGCTTCTGCTGCTGTGCAAATTCCCCGAACCAGAGGAATGAAGCCAGCACCTGTGAGGCAGGGCGCACGCTAAGGTTTCTGTCAGGATGCTTTAACGAATCTGCTGGCTTGCTGTACCAGTGTCAGGAAAGGGTGCGGGAAACAGAGTCTGAGGCCAGGAGGAGGGAAACTTACAGTATGAGTCCATTTTCAAGATGGCTTCTTTGGCCTAGAGGAAAGGAAGTATTGGGTTAGGACTCAACTGAGGTAAAAGGGAAAGCCATTCTCCTAAGAGCAGAGGCTGCAGGGAAATCCACACTCCTTTTCCTCCACCAAATAAGAGATATGAAACAGGAAGAAAGAAGACATTCCCCTCAGCTTCGTATTCAGTGGAAGCAGGGCACGATCCCACTTAGCAAAGGACTTTATGGCAGGAAGGTTGCCTAGAGGAATGGATACGCTGAACATTTCCCTCAGTCACGCATCCCCCCCCCCCCCCCCCCCCCCCCCCCGGGAACACTTCTAGGGACATGGCTTAGAGAATGGCAGAAGGCTACATGGAGTTTTGGCCATCCATTCTGCAGACACAGGTGGGGATGATGGACACTGTCATCCAACACAGTTGATGAGGGAAAGGCTGGAGAAGAAAGACAGCTTCCACTCACTTTCTGAGGGATGATGGTGTGGTGATTTTCCAGGATCAGGCGCTTGATGTGGTGTGTCCAAACCCGCTTCTCTTCCCCAGTTTTGGCCTGGGAAGTGGAAATGACATGAATTTGGAGGACAGGATAATGCAGTGGACCAGAGATCTTGACACTCCTTTGTGGTCAGGACCTCCAATCCCACCTTCTCTGGCACTTAATGATTTGAATTCTATCTTTCCAACTTAGCATTCTTATCGCCAGACACTTTCCAAAAGCAACATCACTTAGCATCACAATCCATCACTCAACTGGTCCCCCCCACTTGCATTCCCTTTCCTTCCAACACAACTTGGTCCTCACCTCACCATGCTAAAACCAAGAGTACCAATTTTGCTCAGTCCCTCTACTGGCCTTCCCAATCCCATCCAGGACCTGCCGTCTCCCAGCACCGGCACAAGCAGAACGCCTGCCCCGCATCACCCCTCTTCTGCCCAGCCCTGTGTCTCTGTACCGGGCCTCCAAGCCACAGCCAGCCCACTTTGGAGAAACCCAGCATCTCACCGCTCACCTGGATGTTGTACTGCTGCTTGTTGTGCTTGTAGTGGGTGACAGTAAAGTAGAGTGACTCTCGTGTGCTCTCGATCAGCATCAGGGAGGAACACTGCAGGTCAGAAGTGAGAGACATCAAACACAACGTATCGACTGCAAGAGAGGTCCCCAACCTGGTGTCCACCAGATTTTATTTTACACTCAAACTCTCAGCATTTCTCACCATTGACTCTGCTGTTTGAGGCTGACTGGAGCTGAAGTCCAAAGCATATGGTGGGCATCAGAGAGGGCCGGGGACAGGCTGCACCTTGGCAACCAGCACCACAGCCACAAAAGCAATCAGCTTCCCATCATTTTAGGAATGCAAAGATAAACAAACTGTCTCAGAGGCTGCTCCTCCCCTGAGCAACTTCCTGAAGCAGCAAAAAGAACTTTGGGTGACTTTTGGTGGCCACAGATAGTGTGAGATGAGAATTCAGTTATGATATCTGCACGGTGTTTTTTCTTTTTCCTGTAAAGATCCTGCTGTCACCTGTGCTTCTAGGATGCAGTGGGCTACATATACAAATGCAGAAATGTTCTCTCTCCCTTACAAAAAGGGAGGGAGGAAATGGCTTGGCAAGAGCAAAAGGAAGAGAGAAAGGACTGGACAGAATTTAGGCACAGATTCTGCACTGCATTCTGGGGTCAGCAGATGTCATTGCAACAATATTTCGCACCAACAGCATCACAAAGATGGACAGGAGGGTCCTTTTTTGGCTGTGTGCAAATAACAGTTGCAGCCTCCATCATACCCCTTTACTGATAGCTAAAATCAGTCTAGAAGCATGCCTTCCCTCTCTGCTTTTGTTTTCTGTTCACAGTGAGGAATTCAAATTATTCAGGGGGAAATCCTCCTGTAATTGGATGTATACAGGATACAACTGAATACATTCACATTGCCTCCAAATATGAATGCTTTTAAAAATGGCTCCTTTCATGCTCCTTCCTTAATGGATTCTGCATACAACTGGGCAGGCAGGGAGTGGGAGGAAACGAAGAGTCAGACAGTCATGTTTGCCCTGGAGCCCTACACAGTGGATCATCAAGCCACATCCGTTTCAGCTGTCAGGCATTAGAACCTAGCCAGCAAAGAATGAACCATCTTTTCATCTCCTCTGACCTGTACCGATACCAGAGATACTCTCCAGATCTCCCCTTCCTCACCAAATATAGGAAGACAGAACTAACAGCATTGAAGCATGCATCACCGACGCAGCAGAATCACAAAGTTGGCCTCACTTACTGGAATATGGCTTTTGTACACAAAATGATCGCCCCGTTTCTTTGTTATCAGCAAGATTTTGTCAAACAGGAAGAAAGTTCTCTCATTTCTGACCCGATGGACACGGAAGGTGCCCTCCAGGACTAACTCTCCATAAGTTGTCAGGTCCGGGCCCTTCCAGTTAATAAGCAAGGACTGAATCTCCTGGAATCAGCAAAAGAAAAAGGTCAGAGAGAAGGCAGAGCAGTCCCTTTTCAAGGTAACCCAAAAGGAGCATAATGATGCCTCCATTGGTTTAAACTCCTGAACAAATCATCGGACCCTTGTAGGAACTTGAAGCTTAACCCTGCCCACTGCAAAATAGGGGAATGTACATTGAGCATACAGAACATGTTCATTTCAGACTCATTTAGAAATATTCACACATGGGGACATCAGTGGCTGAGCCATAATGGCTATAGATTACCTCCAGCACCAGAGGCAGTATGGCTCACAAGAGCAGCAGTCCGGGAACACGAGCAAGAAGGGGCTCTTGCACTCAGGACCTGCTTGCGGAATCCCACGGGGTGTGAAAACAAAATACTGAAACGGGAAGGCTTTTGATTTGATCCAGCAGGCTTCATCTTGAATCATTAACAAAACTCAGGGGACAAGTTCTCCAAAATGCATGGGCTTTCTTTCCTTCACAGACATTAACTAAATCCTCCAAACCTGTTACAATCTTAAAAATGAATGTCGTATCAAAATAATGCTCTAAAGCTTTTGGTTTCATGCCTAGAGAGTTTCTCTGTTCTTCAAAAGTGAGAACAAGGGAAGTCTAAGTATTTGTTCCATCTTCTACTTACTCTGAACTTTTCTAAGATTTTTCTGTCAGAACCTGTGATAACAGACTGGTTCAGCCTCACAATAGTTTTAGGTTGGGCTATAGAAACACAGATACTCCATGGTCCACTCAAGGCTACTCTGGCTATTTCCCTCCAGGCTTCAAAATTCCTTCTGCATCAAGGAGTTGCTAGTTTCATAGGTTACAGTGGGAATGGGCATCATGGCAATAATGTGTCATTCAGTCGCAGTGTGTGCATTATTATGGCACAGTCCATCAGAAACTCCTACATCCATTCCAGTTCAAAATCTGGAAAAGTGGCACATTCTATGCAGTTCCTACAGACCAGAATCTGAGCCACAGTTTTCAAAATTACAACAACACAGAACACCAACCCAGGCCTCAAGCGCCATTTAGAAGGAAGTTGCTTCCACTGCTTTCTCTAGTGCTGGACAGACTGTTACAGGTGACACCTCTTAATCTTTTGTAACCTTCCTCTCTCATCTGTATTTATTTCCAGGATATGAGCATCCTCCTCCCTTTGTCTGCAAGATGACTAAACAACTGATTGTCCCAGACTAAATTACTGCTCTGGTTACCTAAAGCCTGCCTAGTTTTTGCAGAGTCTCATCATCTTGGTGACCACTCCTTGCTGAAACATCCAAAAGAGCAAAATTATCCGGCTAACAAAACACAAGGGAAAACCAGATGACATAACACCACCACCCACATGCACTGCCAGAATCCTAAGAGTAGCACAAATTAAAATTCAGCAGCGTTAGGCAATTTTGTCCTTAATTTCCCTGAACAGCATTCTCCTGCATTAATGCTGGGAAGGGTGGGAGACTTACAAGGGTGTCTGCATAATGCAAACGGATGTGGAATGACGAGATGTGAAGGGGGGGGGGCAGGATGCATGAGGATTCATGCAAAGGAGTATGAGGGAATGGGTGTTGCACCAGGATCTGTTAAGGGTGCCATTTTGAGGGCATTTGCAGGGCTTACGTTGACCTGATTCATACAATGTGAAAACCAGGGTGCAGGATGCATCTACAACCCAAAAACAACCCACAGTCTAAAGCCCTACCATAAACCACGGGTTCCCTTTGTGGGTTGTCTGTGGTTAACAAACCACAATTTATTAGTGCAGCTGGGTTCACACAATACAACAAACCATGGTTCAGCTAGAACCCACACTCACCCCATATTCAATCCATATGTTGCATTGTGCATACCTAGTTATTGTGTTAGAGCTCAGCTTAGGAACATGCTAAATATCAACAGGAGAATGCATTCAAGACTGTACAGAGAATATTTTTCTCATTTCTGTGTAACTACCACTCTGCCCCATACTAAACCAGTGAGTGGGCTGGGGATCCACAGGTAGATCACAACCCAACATACGGGTTGCAGCAGTGACACTGCTATCACTTACTTTGTTTGGGATGTGTGTGTTTGGGAGGGGGGAGGTGCTTGTCTTTTAGAGAAAGACAGGAGAGGGTGCCCAGAGGCAACAGGGCTCTAAAATATTTAACAGTAAAGTTGAAACATTCAGTAGGTGCAACCTTTTCCCACTCTGCTTGGTAAGATACACAATTCTACTCAAATGCTGCCTGTTGGGCAACTACTAAAAGATAAAGGAGCCCCATTCTCCCTTACTTCTGGTCACCCTGGAAGGAAAAGCAGCAAAGTGGAGATGTACATTTCAAAGATTAAAAGTCTTATACTGTAGGTTGTAAGGAAAAGATGGGTCTTAGGTCTAAAAACATTGTGGTTGACTGTCCCATACGATCTGGAATTGGAGGGAAAGCGTTCCCAGGTCAGAGGGTGCATCTTCTGGACAGAGAGGCTTAATCCCTTGCACATCTTCTTGATGTTCTGATCCAGAGTGTTGGAAGACTGCACAGGAAGAGCAGTGGGAAGATTTCCTGAAAGTGCACAAGGGTCACATGCCTGGAGGAAGATGCTGAGAGGTGTGTTACTGTGATGTGGCTAAAACAGGAGCAAGGGGAAACCATGTAGCAGAACAGCTAACTGCATCTCCATGTATGGAGGTCTGAAGGAGGAAGTAAAGCACTACAGCTGGAATGGGAACAGGGTGTGCTATGCAAAAAGGGGAGAAGGGAACTGTAAACCTGACTACATAATCTTTCCTTTAGCCTCCAACACTTCCTTGAGAGAGGGGAAAAAGCAACAGGAAGAGAGCAAATCTTGAAGGCAGCAATAATGTAACACTGCATTGTGTTTGCCAAGTCACTTTCCTTCTGTCCATTTTGTTTAAGGGAATCTGAATTTATTTTCGAGGTTGTGAAAGGCAGCTATGAATATGCAACTTGCAAGCACGTCAAACAGCAGCCACTCAACATCCCAGGCTGGCATCACAACAGGTGACACCTTTCCCCTTTTCCATTACCTGCAGCCGCACAGCATGTTCATGCTTCCGTTTCATGTCATTGATGTACCAAGCCACACAAGTCATGGTATCAATTGCCTCTTCCACAACTTCATAGCCTTCCTCTTCTATGTCAAAATGCTTAGCTATCTCCTAGGAGAAAACCACACACACCACAACAAGGTAAGCCAGAAGCTTTAAGACCCTTTCCCCCAATCTGGTGCCTTTGCCCTGTGCTCAGCTTACCAGACTCTAGTACCCAGCAAAACACAGTTGAGTCTGGCCAAATGGTCTCACACAGTTTTAAGATTTGTCTAAATGTAAGCATAAAATGTTGCATTGCTGGATCACGGGGTTTGTGATGCATGTGCACATTTCTAGCTGGGTGTCAACATGATGTTCCAGAATCATGAGGAGAGCTGTGTCTACATAGTTCTGAGCTACCTCAGGTCAGAATCTCCTTTAGTAATTCTGGTGCTGTTTGGGTTTTGTGTCACCCTCAGGACTGCTTGTCTGTTTAAATGCAGGCAGCCTTGATGGAAGCGGTGGAGAAACCTCACTCAAATCACACAGACCTATAATCATTAATAGCACAGCAACCAAGTCAAACACTGCAAGTGTTTGTCACCTGCAATACTTTTTGTGCCAGGTGAAATGGACAAATCCCACAGTGAGAGAAAGGCAGAAGGAGAGGATACAGGCATGATGGCAAGAGATGGTTAAAAAATTGTCTCCTCATATCTATGCATCTTGTTAAATTTTAGCAGGAACTGCAAGAAAGTAGTTGCCTTGAACTACAAAAACTCTATGAGGACTATAGCTTTAGAGAAAACATCTGGTTCAAAAACTAAGGGTGACAGCTATACAGCAAATGGAGCCATTTTAGTTTTAACTGGCCCACACAAACACTGGAGAAGATGTACAACAGGAAAATGTCCAACAGGGAATTTTCAACATGTCACAGTACTATAATTCAATGAGTTCCTTGAAAGAAAAATGATAAATAAACTAGCATACATGTAGTCATGCACACAATTGTGGTTCCCTGCTCTGGCACCTTTGGATAAAGAAGGATAAAATCTAGAGAAAATATAAATAATGCAGACTCTAGAAAAACCATGAAACATCCACTTGAGCAGTATGAACTGTCCTTTCAACATCCCAAGTTACTATTTCCAAGGTAGAAAGTCTGGGTTTCTGTTTTGTATAAGGTTCTTTTGATCCAGATGAGGCTTCTATGAATGGAAGGTGGAAAGGTGATGATTGATTTCCCCTTCCCAGTGTGGTCTTGCTGGATCCTCTCAAACAGCATAAGAAGTGGCTCAGGGAAATGTGATACTTTTGCGAAAATCCATCTGTGGAGCCTCAACTGGATCCCAAAAGCCTTCCATGAACCAAAGGTCTACACTGGACACAATCCCTTTTCGGGTGGGGCAAACAGTTCAGTAACTCTCCTTGCAGCATACATGGCTAGAGATACACTCCTAATTAGCAAAAGGCATAAATAGGACGCTGTGTAACCTCTGTAGGCAAAGACCCTCTAAACAAAACCAAAAATATACAGGCAGCTGCCTTATCTTGGGTCAGACCCTCAGTCCATCTAGCCCAGTACGGATACTGACTGGGAGCAGCTCTCCAGGTTTCAGGAATGAGTCTTTCTTGGCCCCACCTGGAGAGGCTGGGGATCAAAGCTGGGCCTGCCCGTGTGCAAAACAGGTGCTCTACCACCAGAACCGCAGTCCCTCCCTCTGTTTTAGTCCTCAGTTCATTCTATTAGCATTTCACAGGTTTCACAAGCCCTTTAAAAGGAAGAACGTCTCTACTTGAACAGATATCTGCAAATTTACTGCTGCATTTTAGGGACAATGGTGGATTGTGGAATGCTGCATAAATTTCTTCTTTAAAATAGAAATTTTAAACCACAGATCCCAACGCTACACAGTTAGATCATACGTTACCTTTTGCAATAAAATACATTACCTGCAGGAGTAAATGATACTTGAGAATACGCTGGACAGGCTTCAGAAGGTAGGAGCCGAGGGGCAACGAGTGACGTATTTGCTCTTGGCACTCACGAAAGAATTTGGCTAGCTGTTTGTTCCTCATGCATTCGGTCAGAGCTGCCACAGAGCTGGAGAGGCAAACCCGGGAGACAATGAGTGGCATCCAAGGAGAACATGGGCAGCCTCCAACATGCCCTCAAGGGAGTGCCTGAGCATGCGGGACAGGCTTGCTCCAATACCCTGGCACGCGACTGCCACAGTGGAGCCCAGGACAAAACCTGGAAGCCGCTGAGGCAAGCTAAGTGGGACAGGCCATCACACCTCTGCAGCTTCCACTGGTCAGGGTGGAAGGTCTAGAAAAACAGCTTATTACAAGGAAATCTACCTCTTCCAGAGAGGAACCATTCCTTGAAATGTTCGACAGGAAGCTGATCTTGAGAATCACCTCTGGTCTAGAAATGCTTTACAGAGGACCTGATTATCAGTATAACTCATTGAATTTTTAGCTCTTCAGAACCCTTGTTTTGCTTCTTCTCACAATACACACAAGGTGTGGCAGTGCTTCATTTTACAGTTGGGGAACAGCGGCTGAAAGAGGGCCATATGCTCCACACTAACTAGCCAATTTACGCCTGATTCAAATCTGAAAGCTCTGTATTTGGGACTCTCCCTTTCCAGGGCAGGGTTCAAGAAGTCCATCAGAAAAAACAAGCACACACACCCTACAGGGAAGTGTGAGGACTGCACTATGGCTCCCATTGTATTCTCTGCATGTTTCTAGCCACTGAGATTATGACACCTTAAAATGCCTGGGCAATGCCTGATGAAATATTAGAAGTTGGGGGCAGAGCAAAAGAGGAATAATGATGAGCAGCACTCTGAGAACAAGAATAGAGTTTCATTTCCCCCTTGCCTCCTTTTTAGCCTCTTGCTGGGGCTAGAAAAAATTGAAGAAAGATATGGAAAATAAACAGACTTGCAGACTAATTCCTCTTAGCACAGGAACTGGGTTACCTTGTCACAAATCTCCCATATATATTGGGGGAGGAGGGGGGAGAGAGAGAGAGAGAACACAGCCCTTTGTGCAAGCTGTGCTTCACTTGACAGACACAGGAGCTGTCGAGAAACTTTCTGGTGCATTAGGAGGATTTTGACAGGGAATGTTGAACTAACTACCCTAGAAGCCTTGAAATGAAGCAACTGCCAGTTTTGCACTCACTTCGGGTAGTTATTGCAGTACTGAGTGTAGATATCGAAGTCCTGGCTCTGTTGGGGAAACAGAAAATGCGATTAAGGGGAGATGGCTGGGTACTTGTTCACTCCTGCCTTGGCAGCACTAACCTGCATTGCCCAACCCAATTCTCAAACAGGCCTAGCACGGCTCCACAAAAAGGAACCCCCGCCCCTCCGCTCATCTTTAATAAGAGCAGCCCGACAGGGATTGCAAAGGGTCTGCCCAGGGTAGGGCCTCTGAGTCTCTCCATTGCCCGTGCTCGGAGATCACTGCCACACAAGGTCTGTTTGCCAGCTTACCCTGTCCACAAAGCATCTCGCCACAGCCACAGGGTTGTTGTGGCAGCTGTCCAGATCCTGCAGGAGCTCACTGGGCAGAAATTGAGACAACAAGAAGACGAATCAGTCAGCCAGAGATCCACACATGAAGGTGACTTGGTTTAGTACAGGCGAAGGCAAACTGGGCCCTTCCAGATGTTTCAGACTGCCAATCCCACTGTCCCCAATCGGCTCTGCTGTGCTGGGGCTGGTGAAAGCTGCAGCCCAAAACATCCAGAAGACACCACTTGCCCACCCTTGATTTAGTGTATTCCGGGCACAGCAGCTGAACAGCACGGGCACTCGAGGAGCGGGCGGAGGCATGCTGCAGGCAAGCCGCGAGCGAGTCCTTCCTTGCATCCAGCTCCCAAACGAAGAAGCAGAATGCAGGGCAGCAGACCATGCAAAGGATTTGGATGCAGTACCCACCTGACCAGGGGGAGCCCTTCCACTGCTGCCAGGGGGTCAAAAACACAAGGCAGACATTAAAAAGAAAGTGAGACACTCTCTGGTAAAACAGCCAACCAGGCCTCCTGTCTAGCCCAGCAACAATCTGCAGGATCGTCTTTGTGACATTTATTTATGTTACTTCAATATAATGCAAAGTTTGGAAATCTCTACATCGTTTTAGCAATTTGCTGCAGGAATGCCTTTCATAGCTCCAAACAGAGAAAAGTCCCAACTCCACCGAGTTTCCCACAGACACCCATTAGGAGGCCGTTTGTGCACAAAGTAATGCTTTATTGAGAAAAAGAGAAAACAGGAGAGGAAACAGGTTCCGTGAGCAAACAAGCAAGAACACCCAGTGACCCAGCAGCAAGCTGAGCTTGGGCCGCCCCTGCCCATTCCTCTCCTCCCAGCTTCCTCACACCGGAACACAGTGCGGCTTCCCTGCTCCAGGGCGGAAGCAGCCTGCTTCGAGCCAGACGGGCCAGGAATACGCTGCTGCTACCCGACTCCTTCCCTCTTCATCAGAGTTAGTGCCGCTCAGGACTGCTGAAGAAAATCCCGAGGGTCAAACACTTATGCCAATATTTGGGGGACTAAGAACAGGAAAAGCCTTCTGGCAAAAGGGAAGCGATCCCTTTTATGTGGATGGAAAACAGCTGCACTGCTTGCACCATCCAGCCTCCTCTCCAACCAGGATCGCCTTGACCAAAGCAAGAGGGCAATCTCATTCCTACTTGCTTCCACTAAGACTGAGGGGGATTCTGGTTTAGGACTGCACAGCTCTTCCCTGGAAGGCCTCGACTAGGAATTCTGCATTTTATTTTGTCACCTCCGAACACAAATTCCCTGGGTGGCTCACAAAACAAATACTAGAAAAAACTATAAAAATGAATAAAAAATAAGACACATCATTACCTGCCTCTCTTCAATTGGCAAGGGCATTGGGAGCATGATCTCTGAACAAAATCTTAACATTCAGGTAGCTACATATGGGAAAGGCAGCCTTTCTGGTAACTGGGTCCCAATCTACTTAAGGCAGAGGTGCAGAACTGCAGTCACGTGGGGAGGTGAATTGTTTCCCATCACTCACTGCTCAGTCTGGATGACCTTAGCAGCTGTGCCCACATGCACTGGCATCACAGATCTCCCCCTACCCATTCTGCCCTCTGTGCAGAAAAGAACAGCCTCGAAGGCTGGTCTGCATCCCTGGTGTATGGCTTTAAAGCTTAAAGCCGGCATTTGAAACTAAATCTGGGAATGGCATTGGAATACCCATGAGCATCCGTAGAGTTACACAGGCAGGAGAAAAACAGGATGGTAAGTGAGAGCAAGAAAGGGAGCCTCCCCAGCCAGGTAGGGATGATAGGAAAGCCTATTTTCTGAAGTGTTCCCTTTATCAGAGGGGACTGAGGATGCATGTGGGGAACTTTGCACAGTGAGGAACTAATGGCAATATCGGTGAAAGCAGGCTTACCTGTTCAGCTCATAGATACTTTCGATATTCCCAAAGAGCGCACTAACTTGTTCTGGTCGCAGCAGCAGCAGCTCTTCAGTGTCTATGATCTTCCCCAAGTAATTCTGCCACGAGCAGCACCACACAGCAAGCCAGCAAACAGAACAAATGGCATCAATGAGTTCCAACCTCAAATTTTGGGGGAATTTGGGGGGTGGCAAGCCAAGGAAAGCTCTGGGGAGAATCCATATTATCCAGAGCCTGCAGACAGTCTTAGACTATCGGTTGCATACACTGCGCCTGGGCAGAAGCCTGCAAGGGAGGAACCTTTTCACATTATTCCGGCCATGGTTAGCATCAAACCCGGCAGGCATAACATGCTGATAAATGGCGCATGTAGAGCACATCACCTTCACACACCATGCAATGCTGCCGACCTTTTGTGCCACTAGGAAAGAATTGTCTGTGCATTCCTGAGTGGCAAAAGGAGCACAAGACCGAGTGCTGAGCAAAAAGAACAAGGGCCCTGCCCAGTAAAAGACAGGCTGGACCTACCTCGATGATGCTTCGTAAATCCCGCACGTACGTGCGCTCGGATTCCACTATCTCCAGCACCACACGCTCCAGATAGCTTAATCTCGGGTGGGAGGCAGAAGAAGAGAGGGAAGGGCTTTTCAGGCTCCGCCACGGCCCAGTGGAGGCATTGTTGTTGGCGTTCTGCAGCAGTCCAGCCCTCCGGGAGGTCCCACTGGCAGGGGCTTGAGCCATATCATTCCGGTCCTCCATGATGTGGTTGGCATTGGTCAGGGTTGAAGTCGGCTGGTTCCGAGGGCGTTTTGAGGAGCTCATGCCTGAAGAGGCATTGGCTGGAATCCCCTCATCTCTGCCACGAGTGGGAGCAACCAGGAACTGGGGGTACTCTGTGGAAGGAGAGAGCACACCTTGAAATGCCCTGGAGCATTAACCTGAATTATGCACATTGCAACAGAATGAATAAATGAACGAACGAACGAACGAACATGTACTTAATCACTTGTTCTCCACCTTTCCACTAATATTGTTCTCAAGGCAGCTAAGAATAAAACACAGATAAGATAGCAAAGCCAGAATTAAAACTCAAATAAAAACATCACAGCATATGGGCTACAGGTTGAGCATTTAACAGTCTAAATCAAGGCAACTTAATCAAAGCTGAAACCATCATGAAAAAGGTTGATTTAAAAGCATTCCTCGTATAAAGGAAAGGACAACAATCAAGTTCTTGGAAACTATGGCCAGAAATGAAGGGTTTTGTTTTGTTTTTTTTAAAGTTATGGGGCATAAACGCAACACATAACCTACACTGTGACATGTGCATAATGTTCACGTTAAAAGTCACATATTTTTGACAGTGGGATGCTGATTAAAGATAGCCTCTCCCTTGTACAAGGAAAAGCGTGCAATGGAAGTCCAGCACCCATGGCAGCTCTGATGCAAACAGAACAATGGGCTGCCATCCAAAGTTTCTGTCAAGAGACAGACAGAGCCTCAGTTAGAGAGGGAGACTTCGTGTGGCAGCGTAAGTCAGTAAATGGACAGCTGTGTTCATTTCTTCCGGCCCTGCTGGGCTGCTGTGGGAAAAGATTCCATCTTTCCAAGTTTCCTGCTTTCATAGGATGAATCGCAGCAAAACTGAAAGGCTGCTGTGAGGGCCAAGAGAAGGACTGCACATGGGCAGAGGAATGCTGCAGGTGGGGATAGGAAGGTCCGAAGGCGGCTGCAGGTCCACCTTATCCAAAGCCCTGTTGAGGTTGGGCCAGTTGGGAAGTAGGGAGGCAAGAGCAAGAGCAATAACCCTAATCCTAACCCAACACCAGTTTCACTTTTAAAGCTGTTTTTTCTTTCTTTTCCTTTCTCCTCTATTGAGGAAAAGTCTCGTGCCCAACAACAGTATAGATCCTGCAGATATAAAGCTTCCTCCCATTGACTTGAACTGCTTCCTTGTTCCTTGTCCTGATGCCAGAGGGACAAGGGTCTTGGCAGATTACACAGAGGCCAAGAAGGGGAAAGGGCATTTGAAGTTGGGTCCCTCCCTCCAAGGGAAACCTCTCTCTGCCATAACAGGGGGAGATGGATCAGTCTGATGGCCCCTGGGACACTCTTCCAAGGACCCCAGGCCTGCAAACTAAAGGAATTACACAAAAAGTTATACCACTAAGAATGAAATATTTATTTTAAAAATGTCTGTACCTTATGTTTATGCAGCAGTTTCATGTAACAAATATTTTAGCCATTCAGAAAATTTAAGGTTGACATAATATTCCCCCTAATCCTAAAACAGTAACACACTACAAGCGTAGAATAGTTGAAAATAACATTTCTTTGTACGTCCCCTCTCTCAGAGACTTCTTAATTTAATCTTGAGTGAAGAAAAATATTTTTTTTTACAAGTTGGGTTGCTGAAAATTAAAGCCAGGCAAATGTGGGAAAAACTAAAGCTAAAACTGTATAATAAGTTACCAAGATGGCTTTCACCTATGGAAGCTTTTGTATATCCAAATGTATTGAACTTTGAAAAGATCATAAGATATGGCAATATCCTGGATAAGGATGGTGGCCTGAAACTGGAGCAAGAAATACAAGAACAGGGGCTTAATATTTCCTGGTGGTATAAGGTGCAGATGCAATCAAGGTATGCTAAGGATTGTAAAACATGGGGGTTCTATAGAGACCTAACAGAATTTGATCAAGTGATGCTTAAAACAGATGAGAAAATCATTAAAAGACTATATGATTTTTTACTTGACAGGAAAATGGAAGGAGAACAGGTTAAGGAAACTATGATAAAATGGGCACAAAACTTTGGATTTAATGTTGAACTAGAAAAGTGGCAAAAAACTATGGGAAAGAAACATTAAAGTAACTTTATCAACTTCGTATAAAGAAAACTTATATAAAATGTTCTATAGATGGTATTTGTCACCAAGTCAACTAGCTAAGATGTTTCCAAATATGTCAAATAGATGTTGGAAATGTAAACATAAAGTGGGTACTTTTTATCATATGTGGTGGACTTGTGACAACGCAAAAAAGTACTGGATTAAAATACATAGATGGAGGAAATATTACAAGAACCCTTTGCTTTTAAACCCGAAGTTTTCTTGTTAGGCATTATACCGGAAGATGTTAACAGACAGGAAATCTATTTGATGTTGCATCTAATTACAGCGGCGAGGATTGCATTTGCTCAGTATTGGAAAAGTGAGGAGCTGCCCACCGATGGATTGATTCTAAGAAAGATCTTGGACTGTGCAGAAATGGATAGACTGACTTTATCGTTGAAGGAGAAAGAGGATACTGATTTCTATAGAACTTGGGACTCTTTTTATAATTGGCTGGAGAAACGGGACTTGGCGTAAATTTAGAGATGTTTTTCAAACTATGATAAACTAACTGGAATTTGATATTAGAATGTTTAAAAATATGTATGACCCAGTGAATTCAATGTTAATGTTTGTGATGTTTGATGTTTTTTTTAAGTGTTTAAAAATTCTAATAATATATAAAGCCAGGCTTTAAATTTGTAATTAGATAAAAATAATTTAAATTGTACCCCTTTAATGCTATCCTGGTTTTTAAAGGATATCTGCAACTAATACGAATATTCAAGTCCAAATTATTCACTTCTAAAAACTGCTCCCTGCTCCCAAACCACATAACATTTTATCTGCTACACCCAGTCGGGTCCATGGGAGGTGCCAGGTACTGAATCTGGGACTCAGAGACCCACAGAAGCCAGCCAGCCACACATTTCTAAGCAGAAATTTTCTCTAAGGTCTGTGCATGTGTTCACTTGTTCAAAGGACTTTGGTTCCTACACCTTGTATGTAAACAGGTATGTATGAACAGGAAGGAGATGGGCATTTGCTTTCAGAAAAGAGCCCCTCGGGCAGAAAGAGTCAAGTGAGAGGTGCAACGAGGTGAAGCCCCTTGTGGGCAACAAGCCAGCGAATCCAGGAGGATCAGATACAGCAAATGCCGTACCTTTGTTTTATTTCGGCAAGTGCCCCTGCATGGCAAGGTGGTGGGGCAGGTGCCCTCCCAGAGATCCTCCCAGCCAGCCCCAGTGAGTCACCCCCGAGCACTGCTTCTGGCAGGGTCCACTTCACAGCTCTCTTACGCTTCGTGCAAAATGGACAACGCAGAGAAAGCGAGTAGTATCACTCCTTTGCTTTACTTCAGTAGGGACATATCAGATGGTGACTCTGGTCCACGGACAGGTATTTGCTCTGGACCTGCTTATCCCGTGCCACCTGCAGGTCACAGAGGCTTATACTGTCCGTGCTGGAGGCAGCAGCGAGCACCAAGCCTCCTCTATAGTGCAACAAGGGCCCTGCACTGCATGGGAAACCAGAAGAGAGGGTACCTCCAAAGACAGCAGAGCAACTGCAGGGAGCTGCCATCACAACAAGCCCTGAAAGCACTTTAGTGAGGTAGGATAAGCGATTGACTATGAAAAATACTATGGACTGGCCTGCATGCTTCAGATAGTTGGAGTGGACAGAGGTAGCTGCCACTTATGTTACCCTCAAAATTGTTTACAAACTGATTTCTGATTTAGACATGAACCAGGAAAAAAATGTGTTCATGAGTCACACCTGTGAAGGATTACCTTTATCTGAACGGATGTGACTACATCTTTTCCTAGGAAGAAAACCATCCTTTCCCAGTTAACCTTATAGAAACTACCAGCCAAGACTAGAACAGGACAGATTCCTAACCTTCACTCAAGTACCAAGTCAGAAAGTGACACACGCTTCCTGTGAAGAGACTAGGGTGTTGCTTCACACACAAGGGCTTTCCTACACTGATGTAAATAAACTAGCATGGGGAGGGACAGGTACACCAGCACGTTTTAAAATCCTATGAGCTTTTCTGTTGCCACAGCTGTGCTCACTGGCATGAAAACAGTGACTCCTGGCATATATTTGATAACACTGACTTTCCCATGATCCTCAGACACTATGTGTAGGGAGGATACTAAGTGTGAAGCAGCAGCGAGTTTCAGTATCGTCGGGGCTCCCTGTGAGTGAGCAAGGTCCATTATGAGGTTTCCACTTTGTATCTGGAGGTCCTGATAACTCCCTTGCTCTTTCTCTCTTGCATGCCTTGCACCGTATTAGCATTCACTGTAAACACACAGCCCAAAAGACTCACTCGGATGCAGGCATGTGCCCGGCCCTTGCCTGCCGCTCTCTCCACTGCCTTCAAGAGCACAGCAGGCAGAGGAGCAAGTGAGGGCAGGTCTGTGCTCGGCAGGCGCCCTTCATCACCAGCTGCTGCAGTTTTCATCTCTCTCCAGTTTCCTTCCAGCTCCTACCAACACACTTTCCCTACTTCCTAACACAGCAAGTCTTTGTGGGGTTGAACCAGCTGTTGTAAACTGTCCAGAGAGCTTCAACGATTGGGCAGCACAGAGATACACACACACACTCACACACACACCAAATAATAATAGCCACCTGGGCTTTCTTCAAGGAAAAGCCTACTCACCCTTGCCACGCAGCTTAATGACCCACAATGGAAGCCATTCCAAAGCACTCATCTCCTCCCAGATTAACATCCCTCGCTTGTTCTGCCCGCCTGCCTGTGCTGGTGGTGCAGGTGGCAAATCTGCCAGAGGAAGCTGGGTAGAGCCCATGAACCTTGAACAGCCAGCCAGTGAAGGTGCGGAGGCTGCTGTCGTCATCCCTGCCCCACAGTACTCCTCTTTGCAGGGACCACACCCAGAGAAAGCTGGCTCCTCATTTCCCATTAAAGGCTTCGGCCAAAAAGACACACACTTCCTCATTTGTCATATGTACACACACATGGGAGGGTGAGAAGGGGACATGGCTGTTCTGGCTTGGAAGTATTCAGAAATATTTTCCTGCATTGACAAGTCACTCAAATAGCACCTACTCTAATCGTGGATTTCCCCATCACTCTAGCGGCCCAGGAGTCATGGGTTATGCTTCTATAAAGCTATTCATCCCAAGGACTTTCACAAGTGACCGTGAAACATGGAAACGTCATTTAAAATTTAATTGCACACTTCTGAATCAAATATTACTTGAGTTTATTTTCTCCAACAATAAAATAATCAGCTCTATGGTGCACAGCATATTTGGTATTTTTGCTATTAAATGTTACAGGTGTACAAGCATCTGACCACCTTGGAAACATTCACCCTTAATTTTGAAATTGCTTTCTTTCCTCTCCCTTCCTATTATTTTATGAATTCTAAAAAAGAAACAAAACAGCTGTTTAAAAAGAGATCAGGAAAGTGGGGAAAACTTTGGGGTCCAATGTTTGGTTTCAAGAATGGCTTTTGGGAGGAAGTGCAGCCAAGAGTATGGTCACTGCAGAAACTATGAGAGAAGTTGGCTGGCCAGGTGACTATCTGACTTCAAGACCATATTCTCATAAACAGTTACTTTTGTGTAACAGTTATTTTTCCACGTTTCCTATAATTTCACAGGAACCATTCACACAAAGGACTCTGACATGGGCCATCTGTTTACACCAGCTCTAGCTTTAATTGCTTTGTGCAGAAAAGCTTGTGTGCAGACTAGCGGAGATCAAGGACTTCCACATGTACTGGCTCTAAGACAGCCCTCCTCGACCTGGTGCCTTCCAGATACATTTGGACTGCAGCACCCAGAATTCCCAGTCAATGGTCCTGCTGGATGGAATTCTGGCAGTTATGGTCCAAATGTTTCTAAGGCCACCAGGTTGGGTAAGCCGGCTCTAAGAGGTATGCATGTGGCACATGCAAGATGATTTAGCATACATTAGAAGGCTATGCTGGATCATACCAAAGGCTATTCTGCTTCCACAGTGGCCAACAAGCAGGACATAAAAGCACAGCACCCTCCCTTCCTGTTCCCAACTACTTGGTACTGAGAGGTCCTGCATGCAAGGTGGGCATTATAACAGGTAGTATTTGATAGTAGCCATCTAAAAGGAGTAAAAGACAAAAATGGCAAGTGTGCTTGGATGTGTTATCACGCAGGGATCCTCATCAGGTACAGACTGCTGCAGCAGACTAACACTGCTTCCCCTCTGCTCTAGCAAAGGGTTACCCATCACCTCCAAGCTCAGCAATGCACAATTTCATCTGCAACCCCATTTTCATAGTCTGACAAGCAACACACCCTTTGCCTCAAATAAGGGTTCCTTGCACAAGTCTGACTCATGATGGAATTTGGTGACATCTCATGGTACTCCTTTTATCCTGCACTAGCAGTGACAGGTTTTCTGCAAAGAAAATCCAAGGGCTCTCCATCTTCCTTTCTCTGCCTTTTAGAAGAGGTGAATTCACATACTGAGGGTATGACAGGGCAAATCTGAGCCCAGCAGATATTCTAGTCTAGGACAAGAGTCCAAAGCCTAAAAACTGGTTGCAAAGGGAAGGATGCTCCCCTGGAAAAGCAACAACCAACCATGAAACCCTGCAAGCTGAGAGGTGGAACATTCAAGACAGGGAGGCCTGCTGGTGGCAGCAAATAAAAAGAAGTGTCGGTGATCTAGCCTTTTGGCCTGGCCTCTTGGCAGAGCAGCAGAGGCACAGGCTGGGAGAGAGTGCTGAGTGGCCAGGGGACTGGTGAAGGCAAGGGAGGAGCTGGGCAGGGGAGCAGAGGGCCAGGAGCAGCGGAGAGGAAGGGGGCGGGGCCAGAGAGGCTAGAGCAGCCAGGAGGGAGCCTACAGGCGGGGCCACCGGCCGGAGGGACTGATAAGGCATCATCCCTTGTCTGCATCCCTTCTGCGTCCCGGGCTGTCCAGAGACTACCTTCCCTGGGACACAGAGGGGTTTGGGGTTTTTTTTTTTGCTTTGTTTTCCTTTCCTTCCTTCTTTCTTTGGTTTTTTTTTCTTTTTTTGGTACTGTGCTGTGCTTTGCTTTGTTTTTCCTCCAATTTAAATTTAAGTTTATTTTATAAATTTAAGTTTATTTTATCCTTGTGTGTGTGTGCGAGTGGGTTTTTGTCTGGGAGAACTGGGCGAGTGAGAGGAACTGCAGGACAAACAAGGCAGGGGACCAAGGTAAGGTCTTGGAAGGGATACTGATGGCAGACCAGAAGATAGCCTTGGCGGGAGTCACGGGTGTTGCTGTCCGCTGCGACAACTGCGACATGTTTGCCCTTCTACCCCAGGAGAAGCAGGGTTACACTTGCCCTCGGTGCAAGATGGTGACTCTGCTAGAGGAGATGAGGTGCCTGAGGGCCGAGAGAGCTCTCCAGGCCCCCCCCCCGGAGCAGCCCCCCTCTGGACAGAGGGTTGAGGGAGAGGCCATGGGAGAAGCAGCTGCAGAGACATGGAGGTATGTCACCCACAGGAGGAGGAGGCCAGCATGGCCTCCTCCTCCTCCTGGCACCAATCTGGAGCTGGGAAACAGGTTCTCTCCACTTGGGGAGGCTGGGACTGATGAGGCCTCGGGGGACCAGCAGGACCCCCAGCCTAGGACGACAAGCAGCAAGAGGGCCGCTGCAGGAGAGGCGAGGGCCAGGGCACGGCCGCCCACCACCACAAGGAAGACACGGCGGCGGGTGATTGTTGTTGGGGACTCCCTGCTGAGGGGCACTGAGGCAGCAGTGTGCCGCCCCAACCTGGAGACAAGGGAGGTTTGCTGCCTGCCGGGCACACGCATGCAGCATGTGAAGGACAGAGTGGAGCGTCTTGTTCGCTCCGGGGGTCACCAGCCACTCCTGGTAATCCATGTGGGCACAAACGACGTGGCCAGGCAGGGTGTGGTTGGGATCACCAGGGACTTCGAGGCCTTGGGGAAGAAACTCAGGGAGCTGAAGGCCCAAGTGGCCTTCTCGTCAATCTTACCAGTCCGGGGATTTGGGCCTGGAAGGGACAGGAGGGTCTCCGAGGTGAACGACTGGCTTAGGGTGTGGTGCCAGAAGGAACGCTTCGGGTTCCTCAACCACGGCACTCGGTTTCTTGCCAATGGACTTCTGGCAAAGGAAGGGTTACACCCCACGAGGATGGGGAAAAGGTCCTTTGGAGATCCTTCTGGACTTTAAACTGAGCTGGGGGGGGGGTTCAGGCCCCCCAGAAATGTGTCTGCACTGGACAAGTGTGGGGAGAGGATTAGGGCTCTGGGAGCAGGGTTTTAGAGGTACTACAGGGGCTGACAGGACTCCTACAGAGAGGGGCCAGGTATCAGGAAGGATAGGAAAAAAGAGGAGGCTGGGAACTCCAAGGAAAGGAAGCGGTGGGAAGGAGTTGAGGTGCATGTACACCAATGCTAGGAGCATGGGTAATAAGCAGGAAGAGCTTGAAGCTCTCCAGGGAATAGGAGGGTATGACCTGGTGGGAATCACAGAAGCTTGATGGGATGAAAGGCAAGTCTGGAATGTGAACATAGAAGGGTATCACCTTTTTAGAAAGGACAGGAAGGGAAAGAGGTGGGGGCATGGCTTTATGCATCAGGGAAGGGATAGGATGCAGTGAGACAGAATGCAGCACAGATGGGGATTCAGTAGAGGCAGTCTGGGTGAAACTTAGGGGTTTTGACAGGGAAAGAGACCTGACAGTGGGGGTATGTTATCACCCTCCAGGTCAACTTGAGACCCTGGATGATGTCCTGACAGGCCAGATTCTAAGGATATCTTGGGGGAGACACACAGTAATTATGGGAGATTTCAATCTCCCAGATATTGCTTGGGAGACTCACTCGGCGGTGACAGCCAGGTCACATCGCTTCCTAGAAGCTATAAAGGGAGGGTTTTTCACAGAGAGGCAACAAGAGGCGACTTCCTGCAGAAGTGCTGTTTGCTCAGGATTGAGTTACCAAGAAGCTGAGAACAGCTTCTAAGTTATCTGGGGGAGGTTTTCAGGTGAACTAAGCAGAAGCGTGCAAAAACTTAATGAGGAGAGCAAAAATTTAGAAGAGCCAATGTCTGCGGTGGCTATGATTTTGTGAGTAGGTGGATCCATCTCTGGGAGCCTGAAGAGAAAGAGGGCAGCAGAGAGCTGTACCCTTCCCCAGGCTTCACATATGCCAAAGGTCAATGCTAGGACTCTCTTCCAAATACTCAGCCTTTGAAAAGGTGGACAGTACTTTCCTTGTGCACATGTAGAGTTCATCCCATCACCGCTAAAGAGCACAGAAAGTTCACACAGGTAGGAGGAGCTGAGTTTCTAGGTACATAAGAATCCCAGAACCTGCTTTTTCATCATTAACTGTTGATTTTCCTGTGCAGGAACAACAGAAACAAATGTTTGCTAGCTTCTTTCTCTACCAACAGAACCCAGGACGTGGCCCTTTTGTGGGGAGCGGTGGCCACAGGCTACAGGGTGGGGAAAGGGGCTACCTGTTGGCGAAGTACAGCATTGTCCACTGCGCCCTCTTAAGAACGCAGATAAGGAGATCTCCCCTTCCCACACTTTTCAAGCATTTGACACCTTTCAAACACCTTGGCAGGTGTTTCAAAAACCCAAAGAGATGGGTGCTTGCAAAAGAGGGGATTCAAATCCCCGTTCTGCAGTAAGATCCGTGGGATTTTTTGGAGAAACTGGGGAGTCCTTTGGGGTGAGAGGGAAATCGCTTGCTATCACTGGGAGCAATTACCTGCCTCACTTCAGGGGACTTCCCCTTAATTTTGCAAGTTTAACTAACCAATTGATTAATTAAAGCTTTGATATACTTTTGAGTAAAAACAAAGCTTTCAGAATCGTTCCCGAGGTGGCAGCACCTCAAGAATAGTTGGAAAGCGGAGGCCGCACTTGGGGGATGTGAGCTCGCTGCCAAAATTGACCCAGCTGCTGCTAGAAGTGCTTTTGAGGCCACTCCTTTTATACCCCACTCTTTAGGGCATGTTCCTTTGTAGCTTGGACCAAAGTATTGTTGCTTGGGCACTTCCGGGACAGCTGACATTGGCAGCTAGCCCCTTGCCAGGGGTGCTTTTGCCACTCTTGCTAGGAGACTTGCTTGTGCTTGAACTTGAGCCACAGTGGGTCTTGTGAGTTCAGACAACATGATAACCCACTGTGGTGAAACAACCCCAACTACATGCCATGAGTTGTCAAGAGTGGCTTCTAACCCTTTGACAAACTCATTGCTGGTTTGGATGACACTGTAAGCCACTGGGGCTCAGAATGTCACACAAACCGAGT